TCAGTGCAGCCGCTGATGCTGGCAATCCGATCGATGAGCGCGCCTTGCTTCAGATAAGGAAAACCAGTGCCTTACTGGTGAAATAAGATCAATGAGATCAAAATGATCCAGATCAATACGGCCGTTCGCCAAACAAGTAAGATGTGGTCGTTCGCCAAACAGATAGAACTCAGAAACCGTCTGTTCACGGCTCTGCTACCATATCACCGTGGACTATGAAAGAGTCCAGGACGGTAGCCCAGACTGCCAGGACTCCGTGGAGTGTAATACGTGACGTTTTAGGGAAGAAATGCACAACGCACGATATCCAGTCTACGTAGTACACTTTATTAACGTTCTCAATCGTGAAAACCAACACACTGACGTTCAATGCTCAGTGAGCTAACGTCTACCAGAAATCTCACATGTAGACTGCACGGCGCAGAGTGAACATAGTGAACAGCAGCCGTCAGCCAATCAAAAGAGAGCCACGCCACAGACGGTAATTCCATGGGGAATCCCCAGTGCGTAGTGCAACGAAGCACTCCCCCAACTCCAGTAGCGTCACTAAGGTGGACGCAGGGGAGCCATCGCCTCACAGACTGTTTGACTAACTAACTACCTAACTAACTACAGTTTTCTACCGACTCATATCCGTAAGATCATTTACGTTATTGACCTGACTGCTTTGTTCCGTAAACAGATGTGCCAGGACCGGGAAACTGGAGCCGTGTTGATTCAAACTGTTCACTCGACAATGACCAGTCGCCGATAGATCTTAAAGAAGAGGAAGCTAAGTTCGATGCTGGACTCACGGACATCTCCTTTGCTAATTATGATACGCTGCTGAAAAACGAAGCGTGGACAGTTCTAAATAATGGACACACCGGTAATACTTAATAACCCAATGTGCATTAATTTGGTATTGGACATCAAATCTATGAAGTTTTCGAACTGTATGTTGCAAGTTAGGATAACTTACAGTAAGCAACAATATACTCGTATTAACGAAGGTGTAAGAGGAGAATCCTCTTTACACACAGCAGCCGCCCATTCGCCGCCTACCTGGTTGGCTCAAGCTCAAGCACAAATATCTTGATCTTCGCCAACAGCGGCGATGGCACAGTGGCTGTGCTACGTGGATCTCACTCGGTAGCCAGCGGTTCGATTCCGCTCCATCGCCATTTTTCGGAGCGGAATCCTCAACAGACAGGATCTTCGTCTGACCGCCCTCCCTCGCTGAGATCATCACGGACAGCCGACTGTTATAAAGGTTTCGAAAACAAAATATTTCTTAGGATTTCACGTGAGATATATATTTATGGGAGGAGAATTGTGAAAAGGTTATTAAATCGTCAGTTCTGATTTAGATATGTCGAAGACTCGAAGTCGAAACCGCTCTTGCATACTGGGAAAATGCGAGCGACAAAATTTGCAGTTAAAATATCTTCATATCCTAAATCTTTATTTACTGTGATCCAGAAATATTTCTTACGAAATTGAAATCCAACCTGAGTACGGAACAAGGCTATATCGATCGTATCATAATGATGATTTATGGGTATCTGGTTTTGTTTGCGATAATGATTCTAATCGGGTCTGATGCAGCGCACAATGCCGCCGCGTCTCGTGACCTCTGATCGGCGCTAAGTAGTTTGACTGTAAATCATCCGGGCATCTTGCAGTTCTTCCAACGAGCATCGTTCCAACATTTAATGAATAAGCGGATGTGCGAAAGGTCAAATCTATCAGACGTGTAAAGCAGCAGCGTATAACTGCCGACTTCGCTGTTGTGCGCTGCAGGGACATAAATCCATCGTGGGCAGAAGCCGAGAACTGGTTACGCATTACAGAGCGGCACGACTGATGACATGACGAGGTTTTTGATAATTTTTTTCTGCATGTCTTCCTTTGCGGATGCAGACATATGGGTGCCGACCCCGCTAATCTGTATTGTCGTTGTCCTTCAAACTTTCGAAATCTTTGGGAATATTAGCTACACTGGTACGGCTTACTCGAAACCCGAAACACAGATGTTCATCCGGTTTTTACTATAAAAGGCGCAAAACTGTGGTAACACGGGTTTATCAGGGCTTTCTGTAAAAGCTCAACTTTTTGCCGAATTTATGTACGATCGTATTAAGTATGTGCATATTACGTATGACGATATTGCAGTCTGAAAATCTTGACATATATCTGTATCTGTACCTAGATGTAGCGAGTATCTGTACCTAGATGATGTATCTGTACCTCTGTAGCGAGCCAGATGACACAACGCTTTTTACGTTTGTTTTTTACTTTTTGACTTTTGTGATTTATTTGTATTTAAATTTTGTGCATGTGATTTAATTTTCGGAAACAAGTACGCTGTTGCAGTCCAGCTGCAAGGAGATTATGACTGCGCACCTCATATTCAAGATGGTGGACTGTACGGGAATTATGACGTAAAGCAAATACATTTTCATTGGGGAAAAACTGACTTCCGCGGATCGGAACATCATGTTGACGGATACCAGTATCCTATGGAGGTGATTGCTTTGGCAGTGGCCAAAAAGGACCCTCGCTGGTTATTTCCCAAATGGTCACTAAATGTTCCGTATCGTGTTCCAAATGAAAATGCTTGCTTGGGTTAATATAAAACCTCATAGAGGCGTATTTACTGTTTATTTCCGATAAAACAGCGTTATTTTGGCCGAAAGTTCTCGCAGTTTTTTGAAGTTGTACTTCGTGATTTACATTGTTTACAATAATTGTCAGATGCATATTGTACATGCCCTTCGTGACAATCCCCCGACAAGATTAGAAAAGCCAAAACAAGTTGCCGTTGTGGGGATATTTTTTCAAATCCGTAACGAGCCTAATGAAGATTTGGAGTCGCTGCTGGAAGTTTTGCCCCAAGTGGAGAAGCCAGATCCAGATAACAGTACGAATCGTTTAATTAATTCTTACGTACGACTCGGTACGAGTACTTGCAATTATTGCCCGTAGCGAAGGTCTTCCTAATTCAGCTGTAATGCAGATGTTTAACTTTACAATACAATAGTCGTGATTTAAGGGTACATGCGCACCTGCGCAGCACCGCGTTGACAGATAAGTAGTGAGAATAGCAAAGCTCTTACGTTCTAGCGTGCCAGTAATAAATAAACTGATCTCTTTTATTTAACAGGAGGTAAATTAAGCGGTAAAACTCAAAGGCTTCAACCTGAAATCATTCCTTCCCCTGTCGCCAAACTACTTCCGGTATAACGGATCACTGACGACGCCACCTTGTTATCCCATCGTTTTGTGGACTGTGATGCAACAGCCTGTTTTTCTTTCCCGGGAACAGGTAACTAGTTCCCCTAATTAACTTGTGCTTCATCTTTCGAATGTGTCTTGGATGTGTTTGTAGCTGCAAGCATTTCGTAAACTCATGGCGCATCGTCACCACGCCCATCCCGTTAACGAGACCGATGTCAAATATATTAAGGAGAATTTCCGGCCCATAATTCATGATCTGGGCAACCGAACGGTGTATAAGTACTCCCGTGCAGCAACGCGCAGGGATCACTCGGTGTTTGATGTGGAGACCGAGTCTACACCGTCTTCCGCTTACCGAGTGGTTTCTCCCTTTTACCTGGTTACGTTATGTGTCTTGATTTTAGTTTTCCAGGGAAGTGGGTTTGAGTCCAGATTGCAGTTTCAGTTTCAAGCCAAAGGATGTATTTGAGTTTTCTTTTACCGGTGTGCGATACTTGATTTTGACTGGTGGTAATGTTTTGACTGGTGGTTTAATTTGTGTGACCGTTTGGTGTAATGTACAAGTACAAGTTGTACGCTTATAGAGAGGTTGGCTTAAAAATTTGTTATTTGAATAGCATGCAGTACGAATACGTTCTGGTTGGAGTTTGGACGAGTACTGAGATTAAATTTTTTTAAATTTAATTAATTAGAAATCTTTATTAGGCAAGAGCCGCAGAGAAACCAAAAGTACGATCGGAGGGGATGATTATATTTATTTACTGTTTTTGACAACTCACTGACTTTCCTTTACTTCTGTATGTTTGGTAATTCCTTCTTGGCCCTGCATCAGAATTTAGCACCCACCGTTTTAAATGTTTTTTAAGGAAAGTAGCCATAAAGTACACATTAAGTGCTTACGCAAAAGTGCAGTGAAGGGTTTATTAAAATGTTGAAAACACTGTATGTCAAGACTGTATGAAATTACTTATGCAGTTATGCACCCGTGCGTGTTAGAAGTACAACGCAACTGAAAGACTACGTTCATTGGTTCACTGGTGCGACTGAAGAGATGAAATCCGCGTTAACATTTCGCTTTGCTGGTGCTGGATACTAGATGCACGCTGTCGTATAGTGCATGTTTGCACCGAGATCCGAGTTTCGCGCTGTTCGCTTGACCGCGTGGCATATTTCCGGTTTGGCGTTGACACGGATCTGATTGTAAAAGATTAAAAAATGAAAGATGCTGAGAAAACGCAATAACATCCTGCTTATAGATCTAGTGGCTGGCAAAACTGTACTCGTATGCTGGCATCGATCGTTACACTTTGCAGTGGTGAAGTCTTATCCAATGTAGTGGGCGACTCGCAACGGGATAGAAGGCAAAAATAATACGGTCAGCACTCTTACTCGTTCGCCACATTATTAATAAGTGAATGATAACAATTCTGTCGTATAAACGTCGTTAACTTTCGATCGGCAAGTTATTTACGGAATTTCCATTTCTGACTTGGTCCAAACTCTTTAACTATTTCCAGCGAAGGTATTGCCACTACAGTGACTACACTCTAATTTAAACTTGGTTACCTAATTTTTTTATCGCTCTGTGATCTCAGGCGTAGAAGTACCAGTACATGGTACACCCTCGCTGTAACAGTCTGTTGTGTTTTGCTGTGCGCCCACCTACGCGTGGCAGCTTTGTGCACTTGTCCACGTGCTTGCTGTATTGCTGACTCAACATTCAGTTGAGTCAGTAGTTTGCAGTTTGCTCATAAGTGGAAATTTAGTCTGGTTGTCAGTGGTTGAGAAGAGTTTAGCTGTCGCGCTGTTTCTCGCTTTCTGTAGCGTATGCGCTGTTTAGAACAGCCAAGCTTCTTTGGTAGGCAGAATTCCGTAAATTCTGCTCTACGCGTGAACCATCACCAGGTCCACGCTCACAGCGTGACAACTCATTCGGACACCCAGTATAAGAATGCACCTGTACGAGAATGCTGAACGATCGGTGTACGCATGGAACGCTGTGGATGTGGAGATCAACGGACGAGTACAGCACGGCCACGTCGTTGGCGTAGAAAAGAAAGGGTCGCGTGTGATCGTCGATTTCGGATGCCCGACACAGGAAGCTGTAGCGATGGAATGCGGGAAGGCCATCGACTGCTCCAGATGTGAGTACCAGGACTCGCGCAGAGGAGACGAGGTGGAGGTGCTGCTGCACGACGGCCCCGGACGCCCGTGGACCTGGTATCCCGGTAGAATGCTGATTCCGGAGTTCAGGCCCCTCTATTCTGTTCAGCTGGTGGAGGTGCTAGTGGCCGGGCAGTGGCGTCGCGAACTACTGCCCGGGGATCAGATCAGAGACCCGCCCTTACGGAACTGCCTTATGCCGTGGGATTTCGTCACGGAGACATGCAGCGTGCCTAGCGGCTTCTGGACTCTGGAGCGGTCGGCATCAGCGCTGCTGCTCCGGAAAATTGAGCACGAGCTCAGGGTGCGATTTATCAAGGTTCTCAGTTGGAAGATGCGTTATGTGCGGCGAGAGGTTGGCCATGTCAGTGACGAAGACGTGGTAAGTCGTTACTACTGCCTGTTACAGTAAAGTTATGAATACCCTGTCGAGGGCAGAGCATAGAGCGCACTTGTATCAACACGAATACGGGTCGCCGCCACTTTTGTATACGTTATAACGCCCTGATCGTTTCGCAAAACTTTCGTAAAGCACGAACGTTTAGTCTTAATTAGTAACGCGTCTCCGGATTAGTACCGAACGACTCTGCCTGTCTTCTTGGACGTTCCGCTAGCTTTAAACTAATCATTATGTAGAGAAAAGATTTCTCTTTTTAAAAGCCAGTGAAATCTTCTTTAGGACTTGAAAAAAATGTTTGATTTATAGCAAGTGTTAGAGGTTATATTTAAAATTAGATGTTGTACTGACAAATATGAGCTACTGTATATAAAAATTCGAACGCAGTTGAATCAATATTAACTAAAGAATGTGCAGCCGCCGACATGGAGGATGCCACTATCGGTCTCTCCACTTACCCAGCTCGCATTTCGGATGCCCTTGCGCCCAATATTACATAGTAGTTTTCAGATTACGCTTTAATACATAAAATGCCGACACCGGTTGCGATTTTGAAAATTTCGTATGAGCGGTTGTACGATTGTTTCTCCAGAAGGAACACCACCTCGCCGCAAGACGGTGCTGACTGTTATTATTAAGTTGTCGCTTTCTATCAATAATGAATTGGGTACGACCATTGTCACCCCCTCGCACCCCTTTTGACTGTTGTCACCTCCTTTTTTTTAAAAAGGATAAACACCCCTTTAGATTACTGTCGCACCTTTCTCACCCCTAAATCCTAAGCAACAAATTGGAAGGTGGGGGCCTGGTGGCAATAGCGGAAAGACTAAGAGGTTGCCACAGACAGTGACAATAGTCCATGGGTGTGTTTATTTTAATTAAAAAGGGTGTGACAACAGTCAACAGGGGATGTAGGGGGTGACAATATCCGATTCCTGATGAACTGTATTTCTTCTGATCGTGCAATAGGCGGCGGTGTTTGAAAGAGAAAGAAGGAATCTTGCATTTTGCCATGAAGTAAGCGAGAAAACCGACGCCTCGGATGGTGAGCCGAAGCGGAAGAAGTCGTCGAGAGTCGTGGAAAGCGGTTTGGCGCTGTTGCCCTTGGAAGTGCTGAAGGAGGTCTTCCATTCACTGGACACCGTCGACCGGCAGCGCTGTCGCCGCACCTGTCCGCTGTGGGAAACCCTTCTCACGTCGGTCGAGCTGTGCCGGGATTTGCGTGTAATGCGGCAAACGCCCTACCGGTTACCGCATCCAGTACAGCTACATCAGGATTGCAATTATACCATGTATTGCTGTCTCTTCAAGCACATCACGCGAGCCACCCGCACTATCTGCATCGCTGATACCGACAAGTACATCCTTAACAGCTGCACAATGAATGTTGCTGGTGAAGCGGTTGACGTTATAAAGAAAGCGCTCAACGATACCGGCATCCGCATACACCGTTTGATACTGCACCGGCGATCCATGCAGTTCTCGTCGGAGTCCTGCAATAAGTGTCCTCGGTGGAAATTAAGCCGGATGTCCCGCGACATGACCAAGAATATTTCCAAGCTGGCTTCGTGCTGCGATCGGTTGATTCTGAAAGATTTCGGACTTACACTGGTGAACAAGGCAGGCGAGGCGGTGATGGGATTCGGTATTCCCGCTGCAGCCGTAGTCTTGGAGAGTGTCAATGAGGCGCAGATTGTGGACCTCCTCGAGGAGCATCTGGAGTGCGATGCACAGCCGTTGGATATGGAACGCATCGCCCACTGCATGGCCAGTCTCGCTGGCAGCCAGAAGAAAGCCAGGATTGTGAAGAAGGTACGGTATTCTCACGACAAGGAGTCCGTGTATATTATAGTGTGTTAAAACATGTGACGTAAGGTTCACTCAGATAAAAGAAGAGATACGAAATGTTATGAGGGAGCCCAGTTATTGCACCAGCCATAGGGTCGCGGCTTTTTAGGCTTCAAATCGTACATCATTACGCACCGCTCAGCCCTTCGACACCAGCAAAATGCAGTTAACAAAGCTTGCTTCGTGACACAGGCCTCACAGGTGATGTGGCTGGGACACATTCTAGACTGGGGATGCTGTGGGTCGGGGAACGTTCGATTAGGATACATTCAGGATATTCAACGGTCCACCGCAGTCCTAAACTGGAAATAATTCTTAATAGTATAGAATTTTAGCAACAAGAATCCGCAACGAAGAAAACCCATTTCACGAAATAGTAGCTAAGACGGCCACATTTTGGGGTTAAAATCTTTTCCTATTCCACACTGAATTGCTGTTTTTATTACCGAACTGCAGCGGCCAAATTCCATTAACTGAGACTTAACAGGCTAACGGAGCGCATGCGTTCCCTTATGCGTTGCACGTAGATGAATGAAATTACCGGCAACATGTGTCCGATAAATTCTGTCGGTCATTGTAAGTTGTTTTCTAGTGTTGTGATGCACTGAAGCTAATGGTAATTCTGTAGGTTTTCCGGGATTATCAAAGCTGCGATCCGCGTCCGTCGGCGCATTATCGAAATCACACGTGGACAGCGGACAGTGTGGCCGAAGTGGACATGCGCCGGCTGAATAAATTCTGCCTGCATGCCTTAGCGCGCTTCATGCACAACTTGAGTGGAGCATCCACACCGGATGACCACGCCGAAGTTGGGCCGTCGAGCGATTCTGAATCCAGCGAATCCGAATCTGGCGATGCCCAAAGCATCGCTTCCAAGTCGAGCAGTGAACTCAGCGATTCCAGCAGTGAATCCAACGACTTCAGCGACTCTGAGAGGAAATACAGTGATTCCAGCAGTGAGTCCGTCAGTGGTTCCAACGAATCCAGCAGCGCCGAATCCGATAGTGCTCAGTAAAAAAATCAGAAGGTTGCTTAGGTTGTAGTTGACAGAAAAATGGAGAATGTTTCTGTTCAGCACCGGAATGCTGCGAGCATGCTCATTGATCTTATACTTTTGCCAATTTTTTAGCGAAAGTTAGTGCCATTACTGCCATGTGCGTTATAGGCATCCGGATCGCCCAGTAGGGCAGCGAAATGCAGTTTTTGTCTTGTGGGCTTGTGAAAACTCAAAACCGCTTTCTTCTTTTCGGTTTTTATTCATTTACTTGGATTACTTCCGGCTGGTCGATGCCTAAGCTGGTCTCGTTACAGTTTTTGCGATACGTGTTTTTGATTCAAACATTTACCATTTGCCTGAATGTTTGTTAATGGTGTTATACAGTATTTTATATCGTGAGTTGGCTCCCTTGTAAAACTTTGATTGGAAAAATCAAAAAATATAAATCTACAAGTTCATTCTAGGTGGTAAGAGCACTGCTTTGTTTCCAGGAATGTTGTTCATTGTTTATTCTTTTCCACATTATGATATTGGTGAACACGAAACACAGGCTCAGTCTCTGGTTCAAATTATCCAGTAAGCTGGTCAATTTCGATAAACACCAATAATAATTATCACCGTAATCATGAGCCTCATTTGTAAGGGATTAGTGTAGTCCCGGGGCAAACTGTGCGAGCGTTAAGTTTCAGCTTCTTGTGCTGATTCTTCTTCTGATCCTTCGCTGCTGTCGCTGGGTTGCGAGGACCAATCTGTGAAATTACCGACGAGGCAGGACAACACATATCGGCACAGTTTATTTAAACGGCGCGCGTCCAACTCGTCCGTGTTGTCCAGCAACCAATCCCGGCCCGTATACTGCGCAGATGGACGCGGATCGTCAACTTGGCACATGTCCAAAATCTGCAAGAAATCAAAACAATTTATTGCTTATAATCTAAAAGCAACCGGTACTTCGGGACAAATAATTATTAGGAAATTAGGAATTGCTATTGGAAACCCGTTTTTCACTAGAGAAAACTGAAAGCAATTGGAGTCTTAATCTACGCCTGCGTGAAAAGCCTGAAAGTACATCAATTATATTGTCGTGGAAACGGTCGCCTTTTCCTCCATTCAGTCGTGCCGTCCGCCGCGTCAGCCGGTCCAAATCCAGACGCTCATTCCAACACAAGTGTGTTTCGTAGAAATCATACATATCCACCGCACTGAAGTTTTCTAGCGGGAAGACAGCAAAAGGAATGTGAAACTCCATGTGGGGAAGATGATTAACATCTACCGCAATGCTAAAGGTTAGAGAGAGATCTTTCCAAATCAGCCGCTCACAACAAGATTTCAGCTGGGCATACATTTCGTAACTGCCGGCAAAAAAATCCCAGACAGAGTTATCTTCTATTGGCATGGAAATATATCGTTGGTACATTATTAACCGGTCAATGCGGATGTTGGATGCTCTTAGCACTTTCCCGATGTGCAAGATCAGCTCCCCCGTGACAGTGGCGCTTTCCAGCTCAAATCCGTCTTCGCACTCGTCATGGGCGTCCCGATTGCAGATGTTCCGCGTGGCGGGCGTGATGTACTTGAAGACGCAAGCATACGCGGCGTAATCGGTCGGCAGTTTGCCATATGCATCGTTCATTAGCGAGATGCAGACTTCTTTGCACAGTTACTCCAACGTCAGAATCTCATTCCACAGGGGACAGACGCGCCGGCAACGCTGCCGCTCGATGGTGTCCAGAGACTTGAAGGTCTCCGCGAAAATCTCCAGAGATAAAGCTAAACCGTCCACGTCGCCGCGGTGTAACGGCTGCTTTCGCTTAATGTTAGTCTCAACCACATCTTCAGCTATTTCCGTCCCCTTGGGCTTTGCGTCTCGCTTTACTTCTTTCCACAATTGATCCTACAAATAAACGGAACCGTCATTGCACGCTGTTTACCAAAGTTCACATTAGGTACATGGTATGTACCATATTCGAGCACATACACGAAAGTGTTTATTTCGCCCAATGCCACACACCTAAATGCTTTGTTTCATGACATTCTGCAACGAAATGATTATTTTACGCAGGCGTGAAAAACCACTGATGCGCACAACTCGGATTTTTAAAATAAATTTTAAATTTTAACAATTATTTTAAATAAAAAAAATGGTGCAAATCTGGTTCAGTATAAAAACGGTCTCCATACGTGCATTCATGTGAAAAAGTTGAAGAAGATCGCTCCATAATGAGACATTTGGTACATCTGAATGCATTTAAACTTTTTGTAAATTTCTTGAATCCATAATGCCCGAACCGGATGTTGCGCGCACAAACGGTTTTCGCGTCTACAATGGACGACAAAATTTACTTTACTCTGGACCGTTAGCCGCTGTCGGCTTACAGCGCATACGATGAATAAGCGCCGCATATCCGTCGATATAGCCGCTCACTGAGCAGAAGCGCGGCAGCCGTGTTCTCTCTGTTCTCTGTCTAAAGCTAAAGCCGCAAAACCGGTTCCGAGCTAAAGTAAATTTTGTCGCCCGTTGTATATACAGATATGTAAATCATTTGGCTACAGAATGTCATTTAACGAAGCAAAAAAGTGTTTGGGAGTGCACGAAAGTGAACGTTTTTGAGCATGTATACGAATTTGGTACCATGTACCGAGTTATTTCTCTTAAGCTAACAAATCATTATCGACAGAAGCAGGAGCACCTATGCCAAGCAAAGGTCGGTATGGACAAAACTGTGGCTATAGTCTACACTGTGCCACAACTTGCTGCGTTTTCTTCTGACACCGGGGATTCGCTACTTCGTTGCAGATAGGTTATCGTTTGACTGAGAACCGAAAGTATTCGCAAACCCTTTCCGTCGTTTTCTCCCTTTCCGGACAAGTTCTCGAGTTTCTGCCGGAACAAATCTCTCGCTGTCGGTTCAGCCGTCGTCCAATAGCCTTGAGGCACGCTGCACGTTCGGATGACGAAATCACCTGGTCGAACCATCCGTCGCTGGAGGTCTTCACCCGATGGCGGCGCACATATCTGCTCGTCCGGAAGCAGTTCACGTGCATGCACCCCGCCCAGCATGACCTCCACCAGCGCGTAGTGACTCAAAGTCTCAAAGCCGGACAGAATGAGTTTGGCGGGATGCCATTTCCAGGGCTGATCGGGATGACTGCGTAGCAACACCTGCACATCTTTATAATCCTCTCCGGCCGGGACGCTGCAGAACTCATTCTTCCCTCTTTTTTTCGCTGGTAACGCCTCGCACAGGTCAAACACTATTCCGTACTCGACCAGTACGGAGTGCTGTGTTGCGCATCCAAAGTCGATAATCAGTCGCGGCAGAGCCCCTGTATTGTCATCCAGTCCGATGACGTGGCCCAGTTGTAGCACTCCGTCCACGTCCACGTTCACCGCATTCCAAGCGTTCACCAATCGTTTAGACGGTTGCCTGAAAGGATGCCAGCCATCCGGCCTTGATTCATAAATGTACATGCTGGCTAAGACGCGGTGCAATCGGTGAAAATTCTGTCGAGAACGAGAAATACCCATCAAACAGAATAGAATGCTTAACGCTGTTTATCTTATCGTTGCGACACCGATTATCGCGTTCTTATCACTCCAGTCCGCTCGCCGGATTGTTCGCCCGGCTGATTTGGTTTCGCTGTTTTATAACAGTAGTCAGTCAGTACTTTAATTAGCATTCAGCAATCTGCTGATTCTCAGCCGGAGATGTACTGCTCGAAGACGATGTACCCGATCTGTACGTGCATAGCCCGCTGTGGAAGTGAAGGTCTGCTGGAGCACAGGCATTACGTCGGTCTGGAAGATGATGGTGGCAATGCGCAGCGCCTGGTGGTGGATTTCGGACAAATTTAATTACTAGCCAGTAGCCAGTAAAACTGGTCAGACCTTTTGTACTCCCAGTTTTTATATTCCCAGTTTTTTATAGTCCTACTTTTATGTTTCCATCGGATTTACTTTTAATTTTGTGCAACAGAAATTTAATAGCGTTCGGCTGTCTGTCTAAAGACAACCCTAATTAGTCAACTTAATAAATTAACGAAAAACTTAATAGGTCAGTTAATAAGGTTAACTTAATAGGTTAACGGTCAACTTAATAGGCCAACTGAAAAACTTTATAGGGTCACAACCTGTTAGGTATGCAAATAATAAATATGTACGTATGTAATAAAACACGCCATTATTCCTCATGGTTGCTTGCAGACGTAACTGTAAGATGGGCGGCGGTGCAATATACTAGGAAAGTGCACCGCTTTAGCCTAGAACTACGTATAAGACCGAAGCGAAGCTACTGCTAGGAACAGTAAAGGGGAATAATAATTATTATAACCCAACAAGGTCATATTCAGGTCTGCTTGCCAAGACTACTTGTACTAAGACATAAGTTAAAGTAGTTGTTCAATGCTCACGATGGCGAGAGCATCTGTAAGGGGATTTTTCTGGCACAAAGTAGCGTTTGCAAAGTTTTTCGTTAGACCAGCCGCAGAGTGTAGAGAGAAGGAATTTTGTTTGTTGCTGGGGCCTAATTCTGATTTTTAAACAAAGTTACGCTGTAGTATAATTTTATTCGTACAGTACTTACTGTAGCTGCACAAAATAGTCAGATGGTAAAACTTTAGAAACAGATGCTAGAAATTCAATAGAAACCAATTTAATAATTATTAAGGAAAGTACTGATGCTTAACTTTACAAAACAAAAATCGGGATTTAAAGATACGTAGTACATATACACAGTATTCCGGTGACAGATAGGTACGAGTAGTGAACATTGCAGAAGATTGTACTGTACATAAAAAGTTAACGTTTAAGAAAAAAATTAAGTCTACGTTTTATCGATCGAGTGTATCATCATCACCGATGTCAAATACTGTATATTTAGGAGAATTTCCGGCCAATAATCCATGATCTGGGCAACCGTACGATGTATAAGTATGTGGAAACCAATACACCGTCTTCCGCTTACCGAGTGCTTTCCTTCCTTTATCTGGTTATGTAATCATTGTCATGTGTCGTGATTTGTGATTCAATGGACATGGACATGTGCTGGACGGTAGCCGTCATCGTTATATCGTCCATTAAAAACCCGTTGACTGGCTGAAAAATCTATAATGGTAATAAAGCGTATTCGACACCACTACATAGATGCCAATATTATTATTGCTTCAGTTTCATTATTACGATACTTTAAGATCTGCTAAAAGTGTTCTGATGCACTCATTGCACTGCTTGCACAATTTATACTAGTCCGAGCTTTGCAGTAAATAACTATTTTATACACGCGGCACTGCACTTCCTAGTTCCTACTGTAATTCTTAACTGATAGCTGATGCGACTGTACCATATTTTAAATTATATTTGTTAAACAAAGAACCTCTTCCAAATGGTTAACCAGCGGAATAAAGCGCGATCCAGCACTATTCCGATTTCAATTGCATCCTTGTTGGCGGAAAATCGGGTTTAAAAGGGTTGACAGAGTTGTTATGGCGCGTCAGCGCAAATAACTCTTTCCTTACTTACTTTTTGCTTAAACACAAGCCCGAAAGTTTGAAACAGAAATTTTGTTGGCACTTAGGGGAAAAACTTTCGTTTCGCTGATGATTCCCACTGCCTACAGGGCATATTAAAACTGTACGTGTGTAACAGAAGTACACAAACGTGCAATGATTTAGTGAATGTGATACCGCACATACCTAAATATATTCATTCCTCTGAATAGAGCAGCGAATTTGCGTTGACCTTTCGTTTCGTTGTTGCTGGATACTGATAAACTGCTGTCGTGTTTGCAGCGCGCTCCGGGTTTGGCATTGTTCACCTGACCGCGTGGCATAGTTGCGGTTGACACTGACACGGATCTGGTTGTAAAAGGTTGGAGATGTAGATGCAGAGAAAACGCAATAACATCCTGCATACAGATCCAAAGCTTGACAAAACAGATTGCTGATATCGACCTTTACGCTTTGCAGCGATAAACTCTTGACCACATATTTTCAGGCAGTGGGAGTGCAACGAGATAGTGAGAAAAACTAATATGGTCAGTACTCTACTCGTTCGCCACATTACGTATTAATAGCAATTCTATTGTGAAGTCGTTAGCTTCCGACCTGCGTTTATTTACTGATGTTCCATTTCTGCCTTGGTTCAAACTCTTTAACTACATATTTTCGAGCGAAGGTATTATATTGCACTGTAATTTAAAAACGACTGATTTTTTATCGCTCAGTGAGACAACAAGTAAGTATAAGAATGCACCTGTACGAGAATGCTGAACGATCGGTGTACGCCTGGAACGCTGTGGATGTGGAGGATAACGGACGGGTAAAGCACGGCCACGTCGTCGACGTGGAAAAGAAAGGGTCGCGTGTGATCGTTGATTTCGGATGCCCGACACAGCAAGCAGTAGGGATGAAATGCGGGAAGGTCATCGACTGCTCCAAGTGTGATTACGAAGACTCGCGCAGAGGAGACGACGTAGAAGTGCTGCTGCACGACGGCCCCGGTCGCCCGTGGACCTGGTATCCCGGCAGAATGCTGATTTCGGAGTTCAGGCAACTCCGTTCTGTCCAGCTGGTGGAGGTGCTGGTAGCCGGGGAGTGGCGTCGCGAACTGCTGCCCGGCGTTCAGATTAGGGATCCGCCAGGAGCAGCGTGCTTACGGGACTGCCTTATGCCGTGGAATTTCGTCACGGAGACATGCAGCGTGCCTAGCGGCTACTGGACTCTGGAGCCGTCGGCATCGGCGGTGGTGCTCCGGAAAATGGAACAGGAGCTCCAACTGCGAATTGTCAAGGTTCTCAGTCGGAAGATGCATTGTGTGCGGCGAGAAGGTGGCCATTTGAGGGACGAAGAAGTGGTAAATCGTTGTTATTTACCAGTGACCGTTAATGTCATCAGGGACGTGGCGAGGTCAGAGATAAGAGCGCAATCGGATCTCCACGAATACGGACCAGAATACGAATCCCCGCCTCTTTTGTATACTTTGTGGCCCTAATCACTTCAGAATACTTTTGAAAAGCACAAACTTTCAGTCTTGAACCGTAACGCGTTTCCGGATTGATACGGACTTTGTCTGTCTTCTTGGAAGTTTAGCTTTTAAACTTCCCATTACGTAGATGAAAGATTGCTCTTTTGCAAGCCTAAAACAGCCTGCGAAATCTGTTTCAGGACTCGAAAAGAAATTTTATTGATAACAAATGGTGCATTGGATGTTAAAAATTTGAAAGTGGTACTGATAAATTATGATTGATATGAAAATTCGGAAAGCAGTTGGTCCGAGTCACTGCCGAGGGCAACTAAATAATTTACAGCCGCCGACATTGGTGCTTGCCTACTTCCGGTCTGTGTACATACCTGACATATCGGATGCCCTGAGCACGCTATCGCAGTCCGTATTCGTAGTGTTCAGTTTACGCTTTAATACGAGTAAAAAAAACCCTGGCACCGGATGCGGTTTTCGATCTTTTGTGTGAGGGGATGTATGATTTTTTCTCCCTGAGGAGGGGGTAGCGAGGCGCCTAACCTCCCTCACGAGACGGTCCTGGCTGTTTTTATTAGGTTGTCGTTTTTTACCATTTCCATTATGTTTCTTTTTATCGTGTCATAGGCAGCTGTGTTTGAAAGAGAGCGAGAGAATCTTTTATTTTCCCATCAAATGTGCGAGAAAACCGACGCCTCGGATGGTGAGCCGAAGCGAAAAAAGCCGTTGAGAGTCGGTGAAAGCGGTTTGGCGCTGTTGCCTTTGGAAGTGCTGAAGGAGGTCTTCCATTCACTGGACACCGTCGACCGCCAGCGCTTTCGTCGCACCAGTCCATTGTGGGAAACCCTTCTCACTTCGACCGAACTGCGCCAGGTTATGCGTGTAACACGGCAAACGCCCTTCCGGTTACCGCACCCCGTACAGCTACATCGGGATTCCAATTACGCGATGTACTGCTGCTTCTTTAAGCACATCACGCGGGCCACCCGCACCATCTGCATCAGTGATATCGACGAGTACATCCTTAACAGCTGCACAATGAATGTTGCTGGTGAAGCGGTTGACGTTATTAGGAAAGCGCTCAACGCCGCCGGCATCCGCCTCGACCGTTTGATCCTGCGCCGGCGATCGATGCAGTTTTCGACTGAGTCAAGCAATAAGTGTCCTCGCTGGAAATTAAGCCGGATGTCACGCGACATGACCAAGAACATGTCTGGGCTGATTTCGTGCTGCGATCGGTTGATTTTGAAAGAATTCGGACTCACACTGGTAAACAAGGCAGGCGAGGCGGTGATGGGATTCAGTATTCCCGCTGCCGCCGTGGTCTTGGAGAGTGTCAATGAGGCGCAGATTGTGGACCTCCTCGAGGAACATCTGGAGTGCAATGCGCAGCCGTTGGATACGGAACGCATCGCCCACTGCATGGCCAGTCTCGCTGGCAGCCAGAAGAAAGCCAGGATTGTGAAGAAGGTACGGTATTCTCACGACAAGGAGTCCGTGTATATTATAGTGTGTTAAAACATGTGACGTAAGGTTCACTCAGATAAAAGAAGAGATACGAAATGTTATGAGGGAGCCCAGTTATTGCACCAGCCATAGGGTCGCGGCTTTTTAGGCTTCAAATCGTACATCATTACGCACCGCTCAGCCCTTCGACACCAGCAAAATGCAGTTAACAAAGCTTGCTTCGTGACACAGGCCTCACAGGTGATGTGGCTGGGACACATTCTAGACTGGGGATGCTGTGGGTCGGGGAACGTTCGATTAGGATACATTCAGGATATTCAACGGTCCACCGCAGTCCTAAACTGGAAATAATTCTTAATAGTATAGAATTTTAGCAACAAGAATCCGCAACGAAGAAAACCCATTTCACGAAATAGTAGCTAAGACGGCCACATTTTGGGGTAAAATCTTTTCCTATTCCACACTGAATTGCTGTTTTTATTACCGAACTGCAGCGGCCAAATTCCATTAACTGAGACTTAACAGGCTAACGGAGCGCATGCGTTCCCTTATGCGATGCACGTAGAATGGAATTACCGGCTACATGTGTCCGATAAATTCTGTCGGTCATTGTACGTTGTTTTCTAGCGTTGTGATGCCCGGAATCTAATGGTAATTCTGTAGATTTTCCGGGATTTTCAAAGCTGCGATCCGCGTCCGTCGGCACATTATCGAAATCACACGTGGACAACGGACAGTGTGACCGCGGTGGACATGCACCAGCTGAACAAATTCTGCCTGAATGCCTTAGCGTGCTGCACGCACAAGTGGTGTCGAGCATACACACCGGATGCCATCGCACATGTGGGGGCATCTAGCGATTCTGAATCCAACGAATCCGGATCTAGCGATGCCGAAAGTATCGCTTCCAAGTCCAGTCGTGAACTCAGCGATTCCAGCAGTGGACCCAACGACGTGAGTGACTCTGGAAGCGAATACAGTGATTCCGGCAGCGAAGCCAACGACTTCAGCGACTCTGAGAGGAAATACAGTGATTCCAGCAGTGAGTCCGTCGGTGGTTCCAGTGAATCCAGCGGCGACGAATCCGAGTAGTACTCAGTGAAAACATCTGAAGTTAGGCTTGTAGTTCATTGAAAAGTAGAGAATGTTTCCGTTCAGCACCGAAATACTGCGAGCATGCTCACTAATCTTCATTGTTATATGTACTTTTACCAGTTGTTTTAGCCGAAAATTTGTATCATCATGCGTTATAGGCATCCGATCGCCCGGTAGGGCAGGGAAATGTAGTTTTTGTCTTGTGGGCTGTAAAAACTGCCTTCTTCTTTTCAGTTTTTATTCATTTACATGGATTAATTCCGGCTGGAGCGCGTCTCGTTGCAGTTTTACGCGATATGTGTTATCGATTCAAGCGAAAACACATAATATCGAAGCATGTGCATGAAAGTTTGCGAATGCTGTTACTAGTATACGGTATTTTATATCGTGAATTGGCTCCCTTGTAAAACTTTGATTAGAAAAATCAAAAAACAGAAATCTACAAGTTCATTTTAGGTGGCAAAAGAGCACTGTTTTACTTTCCAAGAACGAATGGTTTATGGTAGATTAATCGATTTGCCTGATTATGGTTCGGTAACTTTTGCCAATTCTTTTCAATAATATGATATTCGTTAACAAAAAAGAGAAACCATGCTCATTCTCCGGTTTAAATTATGTTGTCAGCTAGTCAATCTAGAGAAAACCAATATGATATTATCATCGTGAGCTTGACCATTTGCACGGGATTAGTGTAGTCCCGGGGCAAACTGTACGAGCGCTACGTTTTAGCTTCATGTGCTGATTCTTCTTCTGATCCTTCGACGCTGTCGCTGGGTGGCGAGGACCAATCTGTGAAATTACCGACGTGGCAGGACAACACATATCGGCAAAGTTTATTTAAACGGCGCGCGTCCAACTCGTCCGTATTGTCCAGCAACCACTCTCGGTCCGTATACTGCGCAGATGGACGCGGATCATCAACTTGACACATGTACAAAATCTGCAAGAATTCCAAACATTTCATTCGACACGTGCTTTACATAAAAGAAAACCAAACGCAAGTGCGTTCTAACTCTACGCCTGCGTGAAAAGCCGGTAAGTACATTAACTAAATTGCCGTAGAAACGGTCGCCTTTTCCTCCATTCAGTCGTGCCGTCCGCCGCGTCAGTCGGTCCAAATCCACATGCTCGTCCCAACACAAATGTTTTTCGTAGAAATCATACCAGTCCACCGCATCGAAGGTTTTCAGCGGGAACACAGCAAAAGGAATGTGGAAATCCATGTCTGGCAAAGGATTAACATCTACCGCAACGCTAAAGGCCAATTAGAAATCCTTCCAAATCAGCCGCTCACAACAAGATTTTAGCTGGGCATACATATCATAACTGCCGTTTCGTAGACATTATACATATCCACCGCACTGAAGTTTTCTAGCGGGAAGACAGCAAAAGGAATGTGAAACTCCATGTCGGGAAGATGATTAACATCTACCGCAATGCTAAAGGTTAGAGAGAAATCTTTCCAAATCAGCCGCTCACAACAAGATTTTAGCTGGACATACCCTTCGCAGCTGCCGGCAGAGTAATCCCAGACAGAATTATCTTCTATTGGCATGGAAATATATCGTTTGTACATTATTAACCGGTCAATGCGGATGTTGGATGCTCTTAACACTTTCCCGATGTACACGATCAGTTCGCCCGTAACAGTGGCGCTTTCGTGTTCAAATCCGTCCTCGCGTTCGCGGTCGTCAGTGGCATCCCGAATGCAGATGGTCCGCGTGGTGGGCGTGATGTGCTTGAAGACGCAAGCATATGCGGCGTAATCGCTCGGCAATTTGCCATATACATCGTTCTTCAGCGAGATGCAGACTTCTCTGCACAGTTCCTCCAATCTCATTCCACAGGTGACAGACGCGTCGGCAACGCAAGCGCTCGATGGTGTCCAGTGACCTTAAGATCTCCGCAACAATCTCCGGTGGTAAAGCTAAGCAACCCACTTCGTCGATTCGCAAGGGCTGCTTTCGCTTAGTCTTTTCCACATATTCAGTTATTTCCGTCTCCTTGGGCTTTGCGTCTCGCTCTGCTTCATTCCACAATTCAGCCTATATAATGATGTAAAGGGGGCCGTCAGCACACTGACAAGTGACAACCATAATTCACCTTAGCTTAACACATTAATATCGACCGAAGCGGGAACGCCCAGGCCAAGCAAAGCTCGTACTTCTATGGCCAAAACTGTGGCTGTACTGTGCCACAACTTACTGAGTCTTCTTCAGACACCGGGGATTCGCTACTTCGTTGCAGATAGGTTATCGTCTGACTGAGAACCGCCAATATTCGTAAACCCTTTCCGTCGTTTTCTTCCTTTCCGGACACGTTCTCGAGCTTCTGCCGGAACAAATCTCTCGCTGCCGGTTCAGCCGTTGTCCAATAGCCTGGAGGCACGCTGCACGTTCGGATGATGAAATCACCTGGTCGAACCATCCCTAGCTGAAGGTCTTCACCCGATGGCGGCGGACATATCTGCTCGTAAGGAAGCAGTTCACGTGCATGCACCCCGCCCACCATGACCTCCACCGGTACCAGCGCGTAGTCACTCAAAGCCTCAAAGCCGGACAAAATTAGTTTGGCGGGATACCATTTCCAGGACTGATCGAGATGGCTGCGCAACAGCACCTGTACATCTTCATAATCGTCTCCGGCCGGGACGCTGCAGAACTCATTCTCTCTTGTTTCTGTTGCTGGTTGCGCCTCGCAGGGGTTAAACACTTTTCCGTATTCGACCAGTACGGAGTGCTGCGTTGCGCATCCAAAATCGATAATCAGTTGGGGCAGAGCCCCTGTAGTGTCGTCCAGCCCGATGACGTGGCCCACTTGCAGCACTCCGTCCACGTCCACGTTCACCGCATTCCAAGCGTTCAGCGATTGTTTCGTTGGTTGCCAGGAAGGATGGCAGCCATCCGGTCTTAATTCATAAATGTACATGCTGGCTAAAGACGAGGTGCAATCGATGAAACTTCTGTCGAGAATTAGAAATACCCATCAAAGAGAACAGAATGCTTAACGCAGTCTATCTTATCGCGCGACACCGGTTATCGTTTTCTTATCACACCAGTGCGTTCGTCGGACTGTTCGCGCTGATGAACTGGCCTCCGTCTAGTTAACTGTTTTACAGTACTCTAGTAAGTCCGTTACAAAGTCTTGAAAATGTTATTATCAACGAATCAGTGGTAATATTTAGGAGCACTTCCCAGATGGCCAATGCATAACCGTTCTGATGCAAAGCACGGTTTGGTAGCTGAGCTTGCATCGCGATAATTTTCTCAGACATTTTAGACACAGCTTGATCTTTAAACATTTTAAGCATATTCCACTACCTGTACATAAACGAACATTCCTTGCCTGAAACAAAAACACTGTTCGTCGCATTGTGTATACAAATTGGACCTTTCGGTCAATTATAGAATTTTCAATGTTGTACCAGAACCAGCTGTTTTCAGGTTTTGCTTTCTTGAAGCCTATAACTTATTGCATGAAAAATGTACACAATAATTATGATGTGCGTGATGGTTTGCATGTTATACATTGTAGTGTATGCAGTATGTACGTATGTACTCGTACAATTAATGTTGTACGAGTATTTCGTGAATGTAGATAAGTACTGTAAGTAATGCGCCGTAGCAACGGGACAGCAATGTCCCGTGTTGTTGATAATTATGTAATGATTAATTTTATTTACCGTATATGGCTGGTTCCTAACGAGCTGGCTCATAATACAGTAAAATCCCTCTACTACATACACCCTCCGTTCCCAGCTTTCTGAGTGTTGTAGAGAGGTGTATGTTACATAGGGGCTCTACCCCTGGGGGCGGTCGTAAACTTACTACCCAGGGGCTGCCATGTGTTGGTTAATAGTAACTAAGCAAGGTGCCGCTGACGTTTTGTTTATTCGTTTTATGATATTCCTAAAAAAAGGCTCTGCCGCCTCTGTTTTGCATACCTTTTCAAAAAACTACCGTATTACTGGCAGTTTATCCTTCAGAATGATCCGGTGTTCTTTAATTTTTGATCCCTTTTGCTGTTTTTTTTGTCAGATCTGGTCAAAGCCAGTAGAATACACTAAGCCTCGAAGCTGATCTTATCAGCAAAGCGGAGCTCCGCTGAGTTAGCATACGAGTCTACGGAGAAACGGCTGAAAAAGTTGTTTAAAAAATCGTATTAAATCAGCCATCCAAAATACGCAGGTGTGTTGCACGGTGGCCACCTGAAAGTTAACGTTATCCAGTTTTCTATGCACTGATCAAGTATGCTTTTTCAAACCATGAATTTTAAAGAATTTTCGTAGCGAATATCCATTCATCAAAATGTGAACGCACATAACCTGAATTCAGAAAGACAATATCGGGCGATGAATGGGATGAATAGGGCGTTTGCCAAAACATCCTGTATTACTTTCCTGGTTTAGTTATAATTTTTTTCAAAAGCTACATCCGTTTCGCCACATTGTTTTGTACACCTGGTACTGCAAGCACATCCCTCTATCTTGAACGGGGAATTACTTACGAATTAATTTTCACCAACCATCAAAGGAGGCTGGTCTGAGCTCCCTTCAAATCAGCGGAGTTGGCTTGAGGACGTGACCGTGTTATATGCCTGCTTCCAGGCTTTGTATATTCTACTGGCTTTGATCTGGTACATATACCTAGTTCAGAAGGAGCTGATTTCTTTTTTTCCACATCATTTGCTTTCTGCCTCTTGACGCATTTTTAAACTGTCAGACAAGAATGCACCTGTACGAGACTGCTGAACGATCTGTCTACGCGTGGAACGCCGTGGACGTGGAGCACTGGAGATGGACGGTATGCTGCAGTACGGCCATGTCATCGGCCTGGAAGAGAGCGACAGCATCCCGCCGCGTCTGATGGTCGACTTCGGCTGCCAGCAGGCAGACCTTGTGCCCTATGGGGAGATCTGGGATTGCTCCACTAATCGAAGCAGCAACGTGCACGTTGGCGCCCCAGAGGAGGTGCTTCTGCATGCCGGCCGAAATAGCCCTTGGAAATGGTACCCCGGGAAATTGCTGATTGGGTCGTTCAAGCACCTCAAAAATATGGCGCTGGTGGAGGTTTCGATGGGCGGACAGTCTGACCGCGAATTGCTTCCCCGCGTACAAATCCGAGATCCACCTGACCCGACCGTCAAGCCATTACTCCTTGCGACGGGTCATTACGTTATGCGGACCTGCAGTGTTCCTAACGGCTACTGGGCTCCACATCCGTCTGTAGCGGCGTCGCTGCTTCGACAAATAGAGTGGCACCAGAAGCTGCGATTTCTCAAGGTTTCAAGGCAGACGATGCTTTATGTGCGACACAGCCACCGAACGAGTTCGCGCGATGAAGATTCACTAATCGTGATTCGGTGTAAAAGCGTAGATGGTAGTTGTTTGAATCAAACTCTTATCGGTAGCCCGTCAATTTGCTGAGCGATATGCTGCTGCTTAACACAACCTGCTGACCACCAGATTGCCGACCGACAATTCGCTTTTCTACAATTTTTGTGCTCGAATTTTTGCTGAAACTATTTTGTTGACCTACAGCTTGTTGACCGGCAGCTAGTTCTGGTATGTTTCAGAAGCTGTTTCGTTGGCTATCGAAATGTAATCAGCAAAGTGCTGGTGTCCAGCTAAAGGTCGTTCAGCAAGCTGTCGATCATAAGCTGTCGGTGTGCCCTTTTTTGTTATGTTGCTTTCTGTTACTGTAGGGACTGGTGTTCGAAAGAGAAAGAGTTGTGCGTGCATTTGGCCTGGAATTACCCAAGGAAAACGAACAGCCGGACGACGGCTGTGAGACAGAGCAAAAGGGACCGTCAAGTGTCGGTGAAGGCGGTTTCTGGGTGTCCCTGGATGTGCTGCAGGAGATTTTCCAGTCGCAATTCTGACGTCGACGGAGCTGTGCCAGGAAGTGCATGTATGGCGCCGGCAGCCCAGCCCTCCACGGCAAGTGAAGTGGGACTGCAATTACGCTATATACGCATGCCTCTTCAAGTACGTATTGTAACGAGAGTAATCGAATGACCGCCTTGTTTACAGTATTGTTGGTTTTCTTTACTGTTCATTGGTTGTTGTTCTCACCGTGTAACTGAGTGATTTATCCTTCTCTTTCTCTACACTTTTACCGGGTAAATGTCTAAGAGAATGGAACAGACTTTTCATTAGAAAAAGACGTGAATGGATGCTTGCCCTGCTTGTTTTAGCTTGTAACCCGTGCTTGTACGCTTGTTGATTAAATGCCTGAAAACGACGTTGCTTTGGTTGACTCCTCGGGATGATGCACACATCATCCCGCTCGTCCTTGTCACCGTAAACCTACTTCCGATTCACTGCTGAGCTCACGCCCGGCAGTGCCGACATTTCCATCAACAGCCGACATAACCTCGTGGTACGGTCAACATGCCAACCCACTAGAACGCCGGCATAACCGCCCGCGTTACAGTATTTAACGCCCGCCATCCGCACAATCTGCATTCGCGGTAGCCCACCTCTCCGCACACAGGCCAACCGAATCCTTGTCGATGATGACGAAACCGCGAGTGGACGCTGGACTCTATAGCCGAGGTGGAGGTGGACCAGCTGAACCGGGTGTGTCTGCACGCCTTGTGGCGCTGCGTGCAGGAATGGTGGCTAGCATCCGCGGATGGCAAGCCGCCCTCCGTTCAGTCCAGCGATTTCATTAGTCAACGCATCCGTACTAGCGAAGAAGCCCTTGAGTTCGAGATTGAAGCGTGTGGAATTCAAGATTTTTATTAGGCTTGCTATTACGAAGTGAATATTTATGATTATTTTATTGGTTATTACTACTGACTGATTATTTTATTTAAATTACTACTAATTACTAATTTTTATTCAGCTTATTCCATTTTTCGACAGAACAGTGTAAGAGGAGGAGCACCAATGGTATCGTAGCGGTGATTTCATCGTTAGTTGACGATGCCAGAGTGGCAAGATCATTCTAGTGAATAGACGTGAATGTGGAGGCTTTTTCTAATTATGCTAGTCCATACTCCAAAAAGTTGTACATCAAATCGTAGTCCTAAAATGGGAACTACGAATTACGATTTATACAACATTCCTGGTTGCGGTTTCCAGGATGTTGTAGCAATGTTGTGCAATTTCTACTTTCAGCAACACTTTCCGACCATACTTCAGCCACAACTAAAATTTAAGCCAACCCAGCACAGACCCGATTGGTTTGTACCGGGCCCAGACTCAACCTCTGACTCTGATTCTGACCACTCAAACTTTGACTCTGACTACTCAAAGTCTGACTCTGACTACTAAAAGTCTGACTCTGATTCTGAAGGTTTCTGAAAGTTTCTTAGGTTTTCTTAGGGTTTCTTTAGGTTTTTCTTAGGTTTCTTAGGTTTTCTTAGGTTTTCTTAGGTTTCTTAGGTTGCTTAGGCTTGTTAGGTGTCCTGCTGCGGTCAGAGTCAGACTTTGAGCAGTCAGTGTCAGAGTTTGAGCGGGCCTTTGTACCGTACAGGCAGAACCGATTCAACTTGGCCACATCCACGCCGGCCACATTGTACACACACCATCGGAATCCACGGTACTGCGCGGATGGACGCGGATCGCTGGTCTGATAGTCGCGGAGAATCTGTGGAAACAGCCACTTGGTGCAACGCATTTTAGTACCCGATCAAATATCAGAAAATGGAGATGACTCATCGCAAATTTAGCGTTTCTTGCCCCTACGTTATCGTACGACCTCTGATCACGATAAAACACCATGCAATCGTTGTCTATTCCCGACATTTCTCGGCTTTTACTCGAAACGATACCGAAAACAACCGAAAACTTTCGTCTTGTCATAAGAAACGTGCCTCTGTTTTTTTTTTAAATACTGCACTTAAAACAGCAGTTACCAGCATACCGCGAAAGAAACATTCTAAAAACCGTTTATTAATTTTCGCAAGCAATTGTTCCACACCGGAAGTAACGCTTGTGCTAAAACGTCGCAACCATTACACTGCGTCTAGCACGATGACGAATTCACTGCTCTCAAGATTCACGGTAATCATAAAGGATAAAAGCTCATATTTCATCATTTATAAGGATAGTTTCTAACTTAAATCGATATCTGGCACACATCAGTAAATTTCACTTATGGCAAATGCATGTGGAGCGAAAATAACTGGCACTGCGCCCCGTAGTAGGGAGTTGGAAACCCGTGAATTTTTAGAAAATATAAATTACGGGACAAGGCTGTAGATGCGTACCTTCATTACTTTCTTGGCCTTCTCTCGGCTGGTGATCAGACTGGCCAGGCCAGTGGCGATACGTTGCAGATCCAACGGCGCCCCGTCGCAGTGCAGACGCTGCTCCCACAGATCCACAATATTCGCCTCACTGGCCTGTCCCTGGACGAAGACGGCAACCGGAATGCGCGACTCCATCAAGACCACCCCCGTCTTACTTTCCACGGTGAGACGACAATCCTTCAAAATCAAGCGGTCACACACCGACCACACCTGGGACTGGAGCGCGGAAATCTCGGTGGACAGCCGGTCCAAAGGGTGTGTCCAGTGCCATCGCCCATAGGCTGACTCGTCCAGCCCTACCGAACGCCGGTACAGGACCACACGGTCGATGCGGAGGCCGGCGCCGTTCAGGACACTTTTAATCAGCTGCAGCGCTTCATCGCCCTGTTTTGCAATGTTCCAGTGGCTAAGGGAGAATCCCGCGGTATCCCGGATGCAGATGGTGCGGGTGGTCGGCGAGATGTGCTTGAAGATACAACTGAACATGACGTAACTGCCACTCAAACGCGCTCCCGACGAATGGTATGGCTGCTGTCGGGACACACGCAGAACGTGGCACAGCTCCGCCGAGGTGAGAAGAGCGTCCCACAGCTGACAGGCGCGGCGACAGCGCAGACGGTCAACCGTGTCCAGGGAATGGAAGATCTCCTTTAACACTTCCAATGGCACCGTCACACCGCGCTCACTGACACTCAATTTTGGCTTTTTCCGTTTCGGTGCATCGGGCTTTTCGGCTGTCTCGAGGAATTTGCGGTGGAGTGACTTATCGCTCCAGTCACTCTCGAAAACGTCCGCCTATGGAAAATAACGGAAACTACACCGAAGTCCAGCAAAACACCCCAGCAGCAACAATTTCTGTGACGTTTTGCTTTTCTATCCTACTCTACGTATGACTGGTGTCACAGTGGTGTGTAACGGGTTGTAATGACGTGACTACCCTAGCATATTCGATGTTCTACAACGGGTAAGGACATGTGAGAGTGCCCATTTACAGGCTCCTATACTCGCAAATAAATCAAGTAAATCAACAAGTCCAAGACACGAACTTACGGGATGCTCGTCAAACTTATGGCCCGTCCCCAACGGCGAATCGGGCAGCCGTCGCAAATACTGCATCTTCTGGCTGAGAATCGTGACAAATCGCAGCTGGAACATCTTCTCATATTGCCGCAGCAACCATGCCGCCCGACGGCGGTCCATAATCCAGTACCCGCTGGGAACACGGCAAGTCCGTATGAAGAAATGGTCCGCTGCCAGAGGCGTCCGCTTGCCTGCTTCTGCCGGTGCATCGCGAATCTGTTTACGGGGAACGAGTTCGCGACGACTCTGGCCAGCCATTACCACCTCCACCAGCACTACCTGGTGCAGATGCTTGAAGTCTGGAATCAGCATCGTCCCGGGGAACCATCTCCACGGTCGCTGTGGGCCGTTGTGCAGAAGAACCTCCACAGCAGTTCCCTTGCCAGCGTGACAGTAGCGATTGTTTGAGCAGGCGAAGACCCTACCGTAGGGAACCAGCACGGTCTGCTGTGTCGGGCATCCGAAATCAACAATCAGACGCGGCGGAGAGTTGTCGTTCTCATCCAGGGCGACCACGTAGCCGTGCTGCAGCTGACCGTCAATCTCCACATCCACTGCGTTCCAGGCGTACACTGATCGTTCAGGATTCTCGTAAAGATACATTCTGTTCGGAAGGACCTGTACTGAGGCTGTACGTAATTCTATAGGTATGAGCAGATGTGTGATGCACACTGCTGGTTATCCACCGACTTGGAAACAAGAGCTTATAATTAGCCAGGTATGAAACCAGCAATTATAGGAGAGAAGCAGAGAATCGTAATCTTTCTAGAAACAATGCCAACGACAGCAAGGACCAAGAAACAACAATAACAATATGAAACTGAACAAAGTACTGCACAAACACCACACTTCAGCTGCCAAGCATTGATAGAACGGCAACGGTAGTCAACGACGGCCCGCGCTGAACCGATTTTAACGTAACCGCTGCTGAAGTGCGCACTGTGTTACTTCTGCAGTGTAACGGAGATCCGCCCTCTGTCAGCGGGTACGTTAAGGCACTGCCAATTTTAGCTGGCAGACTCAACAGAAACATGAGTTGGCACGCCTGACGAATGCCAGATATGAATCCAAATTATAAACTACCGATACAAACATAAGAATTATTTACTTTTCTCCTTTTTAGTGGTCTTAAGTCTTGAGAGGAGTGAATCTGCCATGGTGGTAGACGTAGCGCAGTGGCAATCGTTCATAGCGCAACTTTTCGCGCTAACTGCCACCCTGTCTTTAGTCTTTTAGTCTGTATCCTTATGAGTTCCGACAGTATAAACCGAAAGCGCCAGCATCGGCTCGCATCTCGCAAACCAGTGTCGCTCTACAACAGTGCAGAATGCAGTCTGTACACATTCTTCGGCAGTAGCTGCTGTACGTCAGTAGTCTGCACTAGTAGCGGCACTGGTCTACGAAAAAAGCGTGCCGATGCTGGCGCTTTCGGTTTTGCAATGACGCCTTGTCGGTACACCAACGAGCTGGACTTTCTCACGGATTTTTCCAGTCACAAATAACCCGTTGCTCCACTGCGACATGGAGCCAGCGTCACCGGTAGAGACACTGGCTGTCGCGCAAAGAAAGCTGTCCGATCCATTGCCAGTTATTCCGAAACGTTTGAAAGATCGTGGCATTGTTCAAACGAAAAAAACACGAGGAAGCAACCCGGCTTTTCAAAATTTTGCAGCCCGAAAAGTTCTAGGTAGCCCGATACCTCACCGAAATGATTGTCATGAAGCAGGCATCGATGCTGTACAATCTTCGAAACGGAAAACCGGGCCGTCATCGAAACAAAAGCTGCCAGCAGGGCGGGGAAGCCCACGTTGGCCTGGAGACTGAAGGACACCATCAGCCAGCCGAGTCGGGCCGAAAACGACAGCCCTGGTAGATGATCTCTCCCTGTTTTTCGTTATGCATTAAAACACATTAACAACTTAACACTGCTATGTAACTTTCGTTTTCACACTGCTCTTGAATGGCCTTTAATTAACTGCTACTTCCTTAACTGCGTCTAAATTTTGTTCTTATTACAAAATTAAGAATAAATTGTGCGGAATCATTTCAAGTTGCCACTGCGTTTAAAATCGAGTGCGGCCGAATTAACTCGGTGATAAACACTTGAAGGTATCTGGCAGTTTTTTACTACTATGCTGATAATTATAACTAATCTGATAATTGCAATTACTGTATATGCCGGCATAAATATAGTTATTTCATAAATATAGTTATTTTATGTTGATAATTATAGTTATAGGCGGATATCTGCCGACTGCCGTAACGCTGAATTCAATTAAGCAGCAGCCAGATTCCAGTTCACTAGAGCGAACCGTCCTTTTGCTTTTGTGTACAGATGCAAATAAAAGTTTTTTTCAAAGTTAAATTAATAGAACAAGTGCGTTTCTCAGTAAATAACTGGGAACAACGAACGACAAACAACACTAGTCAGTAATTCCAACGTCTTGCGCAGCCATTCCTGCCGCTCCGTGGTCAATCCATGGCCGTTGGCGTGCAACTGCCGTCTTTCGCATAAAAGGCACAGGCTTTCCGCGATGCGATAAAAAAGGTCATCATTCTCGGCGCACGTCGCAAAGATCGCCTTGGCTTCGTGAGCGTAGGTTCGCACCGTCGACAGCGCATCGGAGGGTCTATTCTCTTCCCACTGATCACATAGCATTCGGGTTATGTATTCACTGATAACAAGGCTGTGTGCTTGGTTTACAAACTCACCTCGGAAACGGTCAACGGCAGAACAGCTGACAGCAGCAGCTGGAGTCCTAAACGCGGGTCATTAGCGCAGACGCCTTGTCTGCAAAATCGTATAGAGGTCAGCTTCACATATTTTTTTTTATTTTAATCAATGGATGAACGGAATGGTTATTAATTTATTATTGCATCATTTAACCATCATTTTCCAAAATCACTTATATATCTGTAATTTTGTTAAATGTGTTATTTTTTAGTATTCAGGTTTTAATTAACGTAACAAATGACTTACCGCAATCCGGGCAGCGACAGTGCAAACGCCTCCGCCGCTTCTTTCCGCTTGCCTTCGTTTCCGCTGGCCAGGAGTACTTTTCCTAACATGTTGTGAGTCAAACAACGCATCCAGTTATTGGGATGCAGCAAAAGCTCCGCCGTCTCCAGCATCCTCCGACACCGGTGCTCCACTTCCTCCAGCACCTTCTCCCGTTCGGCAGGCTCCATCCGAGATTCGTCATTCAAGAAGCGGTGTATCTTCTCGTGCTGTCGCTGATCGATCGCCAGCAAGCGGCGTGTTAACCGCATGCGCTGCGCGATCTCATCATGCCAGTTGAAGTCGCTCCAGGAAGGACCGGGATCCGCATCGGCGGTGGCGTCGTTGTTGGCTTCGAGAAGGGACAGCTGATGGTCCACAAAATTTACGCAGTCTGCGCAGGCGTCTTCTTCGCGGTGATCAAAATCGAAGCTCAAGGGAATGGCGCGTTGGCAAGCAGGAGTGCAGCACAGAATGCACTCCAGTTCCGCTTGCTGTTTAGTGTGTACAAAAGTAGTTAATGATTCCGAATTTATTTTTGAAAAAACATACGAGTACTGCAAATTTATGCTTTCCGACAACTAAAACCATATGCTCATTTATTTTTTATACTGCTATAATTGTTTGGTACAGATTTTTTAATTATTATAAGGTTTATTCAGCCGGTTTACGTACCTTGTGTGGATCGGCGCACAAAGCGCAAGTGCACTGGAAGAAGTACCACTTCTTAAGATGCTGCTGCCGAATGGCCGTGGTCGTAAAGATCTCCGTGTAGGCCAGCCGCACCTGTGCAAGCACACTTCCCGATCAATCTGGCGGCCTTCGAGTTAAGCAGCCACTTGCTTACTTGCGATAAGTCGCTGATGTCGTCAACGGCCTTGACGACCAAGGTTAGTCCGTCGAAGTAGGTCACCGCGTTTCGCTGGCAAGCGTGGTCGAATTGCGATCCCTCCAAATACACACCCTCTCCGAGTCGTCGCTGGTGTTTGTCGCTGATGTCGAAGGAGTTGATCTTCAGCTTACCGTACATCTCCGCCAAACTACCAATAATTTCTATATTAAGACTCATCTATATAAAATTTACTACTACTGTATTATCTTCATTTATTTATAATGCTTGTATAATTTTGTCATTTTTGGTTACCTCTTATTATGTTTCTTTAATTCTTTAAATTTTTTTGCAGAAAATTAGAAATTCTCGATTTATTTACCTGCGTAAATCGGGTACGTCGGCCTCCCAGAGCAGCATCGCCAACAACTGCCGCAGCTGTTGCACATCCTTCATCCACACTTCGCTGCCGAGAATGTCCTCCGCATGCGACACCAACCGAGCGTAATCCCGCTCCGCCGCGTGATTGGACGCTGCCGGCACGCCCCCTCGCCGGTCACAGCGGGCCATCGACAACTTCCGGTTCTAATTTTAACATAATTACACACCGTCCTGTCAGTCAAAAACACTATCTGTAGTGCTACAAACTGTATTGCCATGATAATATAGCGATTATCCCACACATCAATGAACCGCAAATTTGATAATGAATTTACTGATTTTTATTCAGCTTTATTAGTTCTTAGTTCTTACCGACAGCATCGGTGATTTTAACTTGTTATCGGTTTTGGAGTTTTGTAGGCGCGCGATAAGTTTGAGTATGAGCAGTAAATCATGCTGCGGCGCGATAGTTTTGGCGCGCAACGATTTGAGGAGAGCGCATTCGCTTCCGTGGCGCCATTGTTGAGATTTGTCCGCGGTCTGTTGAACAGCAATTAAAGTTCTTTATTTAGATTTTAATTTCAAGCGTGGCCTTTTTGACACACTTGGCAAACAACAAAAACTCCCAAAATATGTTAAAAATATTAAACGCATGATGGTATGATTGTATCATCATGAAATAATAAAATAAATATGTAGCACGGAACTAAACAACCAATAATTATTTTAAAGAAAAACTTATTTGATGTTTACCTGGCAATCTGTGGAACAATATCGTACGCTTCCGCATCCAGGGCACAGAATATTCTGATTAAAGTGGTCTCTGTCGCCTCCATTAGATTCCCCATTCTGCAATGCGTCGTTGGTTAATCGCCGCCAGGAACAAATATGAACGATTGACAAAAGTTAACCTTATGAAGATCTTCAAAATCCAACGGTGCTTCCTTGGAAAACGGGAGGAAACATCGATAGCAGTAATCCTGGAAATTCTCGGGATGCAGCGAGTACAGCCAGGGCTCGTTGCGCATCAGCACGTCCCCGGCGCGGACCGGAAACGACGCCGTCCAGCACGGTTGCGCTGTCTTGGCCAGCGCGTCTCCCGCATTCACCGCCGTCGCATGCGCATGCGTCTGTGTTGCCATTTTGCTCAAAACAAAATATTCCACCGTCCCAACCAAATGCCGAGATAAATATAAACCACAAGCAATAAAACTATAACGAATGCCGGCAATTGTTGCGGAGTGACGCGTGTCTTTATTTAATTATCTTGTCCATCATCAGACGGAACCATATTATCGGCACTCGATGCGCATATACTTAGACCGCTATCAGTGCTTCCTTAATGGCCTCTCCACGCCGGAAAAGTATGCGGGGCAGTGCTGACATGTTCAGCTGGATAGTGCACTTGAACCCAATGCAACAAACACCGGCTAATCGCCGCAGCGACTTGTCAACACGCCGGTCTACAGATACAGTTGCAGTAAACCGGCTGTTTTCTGCTGTACTCTGTATATAAACGACGCTGCTTAACCTAGACCGGCATTTCGCAGGTTGGCGAAGTTTTCCTGAGAGCTGATACAACAACGTACACACTCCATGTCAAGTGGATATTGCAGGATATCAAGTGATTTATCGCGGCGGATAATAGTATTCATGTAAACAAGCACTGTGGATTATCGTAGAAAGTCCGATCAGTTTACATGGAAACAATTAATCACTTGTATGAGTTGTATGCAAGGTGTACTTATTTTCCGAGCCCGGCTGTACCGCGCTGTACAAGTGCGTTACGTAGCAACTTTTTCTGCATTATAATGCAGACGGTGTCCTGTTTTGCATACAATGTAACACACTCTATAGGAGACTGTGAATTGGGACAAAGTTTTAGGACGTGTGATTGTGTTCCACTGCACTGCTTATTGTCAATCTTGTATCTACGCTACGTTTTGGTGCGCATTTATAGAGATACTGTGATATACTGTAGTACGATGGCCGTTTCTTGACCAGCATGATGCCATGTACGAGTATAAATGCTGCTTCTTTGAGTCATGAAATCTACAGCAACGCTACATCGAAAACTACTCTATTTTAGATACGTATCTAGTACATATGCATAAACAGGTTAATCATGGACCGTAATAAAACCAAATATGAAGTAAAACATTTACTCTTTTTTTTGTGATTCTCGGTTAGGTATCGCACGAATTACCACGTCAATCCGTACTGCAATATTCTGGCATTTTTCGTTTCTGAATCGAAAACACTCAACGCATGATACACGATGCAAGACATACAAAGGCACACATGCGCATTTCCACGCCAGTGTTCTCGTCCGAATGCGCACCGTCGTCCACGTTGACTAATAATTCTGGTGTAGACCGGTTAGGGCAAGAGTCCCAACAGCACCATACTGCCAGCGGCTAGGGCGCCCGCCACGGGCACCGTGATCAACGCGCATCCCATAATGTTGCCGAAGACCTTCCAGTTGACGGCGCGGGAACTGCGGACGGGAAACACATTGTATGGCACATCAAAGAAACACCCAATAAAAAGTGACTGCAATAGACGGTTATTTTCTACTTTCAAAAACATTTAGTTGAAATCCCTCTATTTAATTTTCATTAAAATACAATAAATTCAAGAAATAAAGTCTAATTTAGGTTAAAGCGTTCATTTTTTCCCGAATTTAAAACTCTTTTTAAATTACGGGAAGGTGCTATGAACCTGAAATCTGTTCTTTTTTTACTGTACGACCATGTGTCTTTTACAGCAAAGTTTCAAGAAGATCGGGTAATAACCAGACTTTTGGTACACAACAGTGCGTTTTATCTTTTCGCCCAAAATAAAAGTTTGCCATATCTCGGCAACCGGATGTTGCGCGCGCAAACGGTTTTCACAACAATGTTTACAAGTCATTTAGCTTTATAATGGCATAAAGTATTACTAAAAAGTGATTCGGAGTGCGCGAAAGTTTTAGTGCGTGTATGTAAAGTAGAATTGTATAAGTACCATTTTTGACACCATGTAAGTAAAGTTGAGCGTACCTGCGTAGGTAGCCGACAGCCACCACACTGCCGACAATACAGTGCGTCGTACTGACGGGCAGTCCGATCTTGGAGCACAGCAGCACCGTCGTGGCCGTTCCCAGTCCGATGCAGAAACCACTGTAGTACACGCACACACTCATGCACCAATCTTTTAAGAATACACAAGATGATGCGCGTGCCTGCTGGGAATAATCACAGCCAGACTGCTGCCCACCGTCTCGATGACCTTTCGGCCCAGGACGCACAAGCCGACGGAGATGCCCAGGCCGCCGAAGAGCAGCAGCCAGATGGGCGTGCTCGACTGCTCCGGCACGTGCCCGCTGGAGAACACCACCCAGATCGCCACCACCGGCCCGATCGCGTTCCTGTATATCCACAAAATAAATCATATGACTGTGACTTCCTTTTTTCTTTGGGTTTTTACTGGCATCTTAAGTTTGTTGATGCCATTTATTTTTATTTTGATGACGTTAAGTTCTACAGACGTTTGCTTATCGTTACTTTAAAGACGCTATTTAGTTTTGATTCAATGAACCCGTTCGGTAGATTTTTTTATGATGTCGGTCTGTTATTGTTTTTATGGTGCTATTTTATTTGTACTAATTTTTATTACCGTGAATTTCTTACATACACGTTGTTTATCCTTACATTAAAGATATTATTTTGATTTTGATTCAACGTCCTTCATGTTAATTTTCTAATCGTGTTATTTACTGAATATATTTTATGTAAACATTTTATTTATTTAGTAATACATTTAATCAGTCAGCCAGTCTGTTCTTACTATTGTACAGTATAACTAACTTTAGTGGCAGTTTATATTGTTGGCACACACATATAGATACTGTACATTCTTGTGGATTTTAACAAGAAATTAATTTATTCAATTAACTTACGATACATCATTTCCGCCGTGAGCGAACGCCGTAAATGTCGCTGTCAGAATCTGTGCAATAAAATATTGATATAACAGGCTTCAGAACTGAACACATAATATTCGTATGCACGTATGTATAAATGTACATAACTACATATGTATTTCTAAACTGAATAAATACTAGATACATACATATGCCAGCTAAAAATGAGCCACAAACATACCTGCAGAAAGGAGAAAATGGCAGCTATTTCCGGAGGATCGACAGGCGGCTTCAGCGGATCCGTTGTCTACAAGCAAAATATTAATGATTTGTGCCTGTTAGAATTTCGCAGCGATGGAATTTCATTAACCTCTTCGCGATGTCCGAGCGTGCGGATATTCTGCCAGCATCGCACTAGAAAATTCCCCCGCGGCTTCTGCTCCTCCTTCTCCTCGTCCTCCGACTTCCGCAGCGGAAGATAATACGGCTCCTTCTTGACCACACTGATGCGGTGGTCCATGGGTGGTTTCGCCGGCGCCAAGCCGGTCACCGGCGGCGCTACACGGGAATACCGCATCATGCGCAGATTGGACGCCGGTTCCCCGTCACCGCCGTACTGCGGATGGTACTGCAGACCCCCGTCCTCATCGTACTCCTCCGTGACGTTGAGGCGCTCGCCCACCCCGGTGGCGGCACTCACGGGTTTTGCGTCCGGAGGCGGTGGCGGCCGGTACACGTACGAGCGACGTTGTAAGATGGAGCGGAGGGGTGGAGCAACGGCGCTGGAGAGGGCGCGGGATTTTGCCCCCGTGGTCAGGTCATCGTTGACCTTGATGGTGATGCCGGCGTTGCGTGCCGGACTGAGCCCCGCCTGAATTGAAGGTGTTTTAGCGTTAAGAGTGTCGTCGCGGTTGTGTTGGGAGGTTACCTGGATGCCGGTGTTGCGCGAGGTCATGCGGAGACCGGCGAGTTCGTCGTCCTCGGCGTAGTCGTCGACGAAGACCGGCTGCTCGTTGCCCTCGGCACCGGCGACTTCTTCGACCAGTTGTTCGGCGGTCGGGCCCATTTCCTCCGTGTCGCCCAGCAGATCCAACGTGGTGGTCGAGGTGCCCATGGCGTTGGCCTCCTCCGAGTAGGGACCGGTGCCGGCTAGTTCGTCCAGTAAATCCAGATTGGTCGCCACGGAACCTGCTCCGAATGCCACGACAGAATAATTTCCAAAGAAAGATTTTCAATAACTTGAAACACAGATAAGATTGAACTCAGATGAGATTGAAATTCGTAAGCGTTCCTCCTTACAGTTCATGGCACACATGAGCGGTACAGCTGTATGGGCCTTTAGTTTGCGGATATTCCCGAGGATGATCCGGCGCTGCCATGGCACCACGGCGCAAGCTACCACCGTCCCGGTGATGACCGCCAACCCCGTGCTGACGATCAGTCCGCCCCACCACGGGATGTATTTACTGATGGCCCCGCCCATGAAGATACTGATGGTGTTGATAAAGATTGTGATGGCGTAGAAGATGGGCAGACCGCGGAGACCTATCAAAGGGCATTAGAAAGCATTGTAAAAGTCACAAGCGATTGAACACGCTGTGGTTACCGGCTTCGAGGGGATTGGTGGTCTTGAGGATAAAGCGGCGCACTAGCATGAAGAGGAAGCCGGAAAGGGCGCCGGCCAGCACCGGCGAGACGAACCAGGAGGCCACGATGCGGACGATGCGCAGCCACTGGATGCCGTGGTAGCCGTGCTTGACGATGGAGAAGCCCATCGTGGCGCCCACGATGGCGTGCGTACCTAACGTGTATTTTACCCATATACACCATGGACGGTTATACGCGAAGAACGGTGCAAAAGGCCACATTGTAGACTCACCGGAAACGGGAACTTTCAAGAGGGTGGCGATCAGCAGCCAGGAGGCAGTGCCCTGTAACCGGACAGTGGATGGTTGAGTGCTAGCATAATTATATGGCAACATTGGTTATGTCATTTACTGACGGTTAAAGCGGCCACTTCGCCCAGAAGCAGGATTTTGGCTTGGCCGTCAAAGAGGCTAATGTCGACGATCTCCTTCCAGATAGTGTCCGATACTTGCGATCCCAGTAAACATGCTCCTGAAATCAGCAGATGTTCATTCATTCAACACGGTCCTGTAAAACTATGGAAAGCGAATACAAACTGGGATTGTCCTCCTCAATCCTCATTAATCCCACATGTAAAAGATAATATTCACTTCTTATTAAAATAAAAAGAAATTCGTTGAACAGAAGTACACGAAATCCCGCATAATTAATGTTGAATTAACATACAATAACAAATTAAAATAAATATCAAAATTCCTAGCCACGGTAATATGCCACGCACCGAGTTCAGCTTAAATAATGAACACAACTACACATTCAGATAAATAACTCAAACATATTAAAAATTAAAATTTTGGACATCACATGATGATTAATTTAGAGCGTTCCGAAATCATATGGAGACTGTGTCTATAGGCTGTTTTTACTGTAAGTTAAGCTGCATAACACTGAAGTTGAATGCTTTTAAGTTTAAACAAATTATGGTGTTGAGTAGATAATTCTTCAATGAAATGTAACTGAAGAATCAAGAAGTAATGGTACAGGCGAGTAATTACGTATTTAGGATTCGAAAATTTACCTGCAGAAAATTTGCAAGAAATATCTGTTACAATGGTTAATATTTCAGCTTAAATTTTTCTATCATTTCAAATATATTAATTTCCGGCTCTTCAGGCTTCTTTCCGGCTCTTATATTAGTTTAATTTCCGGCTCTTTAGAAGCTCTTGAAGTTCAAGCATAAGCCTAAATGGCGGCACGTTAAACCTACCGAGACTTTCGAAGATGACGGCCAGAATGCAGGCCTGGCGCAGCGTGAGGACCTTGGAGCCGACGGAGGTGCCGAAAGAGTTGGCCACGTCGTTGGCGCCCACCGCGAACGCCAGGATGAAGGCGATGACGAAGCCAACCACCACCACCCAGATGTAGTCCTGGTTGAAGGCGTTCCCGGCCAGCGTCGTCATATCCGGCAATGCGCTGGTCACCGGCGTAAAAACCCACGCCGCATCGGCGCTGGACGTCGACAACAGCGACTCCGCTTCCGACATCCTCGATTAACGGACGTAAAACGCTATACTATCAATGCTAGCTAACAATTATTAATTTATCCGTTTTGAAATCAGCAAAAACATATGGTGGAAATGCTGGTGACCTTTCCTAAGCTGACAGCCGCAAACCAACAGTTGGTTAATAAAGTGGACTACTTCGTGAAAAATATCGAGCGGTGTTTGTTCAACGATTTTCCTTTGAGACCATCAATCGCCGAATTTTAATAAAGCTCACAGGGATTTTTTACGAGCGTTTGACTAATGCGGAGAACATTTCCCATCTTAATTAGAATGCCGCGAGCGAAACCCCGCTGCGAAGCTGAATGCTTAATGAATCTTGCTTAATGTATCTGAAACAATTTCCAGCCGTTTACGATCGGATGGAGTTGGCTGCAATTTTACGATTTATGAATGTTACTTTTATTCGCCGTTGTTTCAGGTAAATTTACGACTTGACTTCAGTCGTCAGCGGCGCACTGAGAAACATTAGCAATAACGTGACTGTACTGACAAATATCGCTGGTGTTGTCATCACATGAATTCCGCTCTCTGATTCATAACATTTCGCTAGTTTTTTTCTGACATACAGTATCATCGTTAAACGACATTACTGGGTTTCGAATAAAATTTTGGGAAGACACTTTTTGGTACATTTCGCTGTTATTTGGAATGGCGGTGGTGACCTTTCGTCGGCCCCAGCGCCGGCTGAGTCTGGTGGACGCGGAGGACGGCGAAGTGCACATAGTCAGGTAAACAGATTTTCCTCGTCGTCGATGTCAGCTTTATCGATGTGCCGTTTGGATGTCGCTTTCAGCGCCCGTGTACCGAAGCCCCAACTGCCGCCTCCAATAATCGTCATCCACGGCAGCGACGAGACCATCCACACCATTGCGGAGTTGCCCGAGGAAGCAGTGACGGACAGTGAACCGACACCCGAACCGGAAACCGACCCGGCGCGGTGTACCTGGGTGAGCACGACGGATTGCCGGTTGGAGAGGACCGTCGGCGGGGTGATGATGTCCACAGGAAGCATGCTTATAATTCTGCAGTTGGCCGGTTAGTTAATATTATACAGTGTACACTGTGCTGCACCCAATCACAAACGTCTTCATCAAATGATCCAAATATACCATGACAATCGAAAACTGCTGTATGCACTATAAACAAAATTCAAAATTAATTGAAACGTTCCACAAACGTTTCTCGGAGAGCGCGAAAGCAAAGGTTCTCGTACATGTGTGTACTAAAGTAACGGTGTATATGAATTTTAAGTTAAGTACCGGTGCGCTTACTTTGATATCTTAAGCAGCACTGACGCAGAGGCTAATTAACATTAATCGTTGGTTTCGTTAGTGACGCTGTTTGGCCGACAGCACAAGCCCCTCCTGCAGGATACCCTCCACCAGAGCTTTCAAGGTTTCTGGAACGGGTTCCTCCTGTTTTTGGCCGGCTGCACCGTCCAGCTTCACGGGTGGCAGCGTACCCAGTGTTCCCGACCGAGCCTCATCCCCACCAGCTTGGACCTCACCCGTCTGGAACGGGGACTCCGCTATCTGCGCCACAACCGCGTCGCGACCTTCCTCGGAGATCTTGTGATACGCTTTCACCACGCTCTACACCAGTCCTCCTACCGGATCCCGGAAATGGCGCTGATCACGTGCAGTGCGGCGCTACTATCCGGCATCGTGGCGCTGCTGCTGGCCGGGTTTGCGTACGGGCGGTACCCGACGCTACTCAGTCTGAAGAGTCTGGAGAACCTCCAGCCACTTCCCAACGGTAGGAATATGTAGAAATTGAATCGCTCTGTGCGGTGAAATATCGGCTAAATTTGTTGCAGTGACATTCCCGGAAAGCGATTCCGCGTTGCGGTTGCGTATGAAGGGTACCCATTGGCATCGGGAGCGGCTAACCCTCCTCGGGCTGCAGCTCTTTGTCGTGTTCTTTACTCTCTTGGGGTGGTTGGTATCGTCTGTTGCGTTTACCATGGTGTTGACATTTTGGGAAGCTAGTACGTTAATTTTATTTGCGTTGCGTTACTTTACTTTACTTTACTTTACTTTACTTTACTTTACTTTACTTTACTTTACTTTACTTTACTTTACTTTACTTTACTTTACTTTACTTTACTTTACTTTACTTTACTTTACTTTCACGGCAGTAAAGGCAGGTACGGCAGTTAACTTAATTTAATTCAAATATTTAAATAATTAATTTGGTTTAATGTATTGTGAGTTGGAGGATAACATTACTGTCCGAAAAGAATATTGAAAATTTGAGTATGAAATTTCTTTTTTGTAGCGCCGGGCGTCAAAAAGAAGGTGAAGCCGGTTCGTCCGAAGCCGGTAATGGTGACGGTCGGCACGGACAGTGAGGGTCTAGAGGACTCCTTTGAGCAATGGATGCACTCCATGAAAGCGGACGAGACGGAGAAAGTGGGCGCCGGCGAACAACTGCAGGAGACACTGCAGGCAATTCCCGCCCGCATCCGCAAGATCTCCCGCTCCATCAGCACGTACCTAAACGAAGCCATCAACAAGGAAGCGGATGGCAGTGCGCCAGGGAGGCGGGTGTCGCGGGTGGATGCTGGCTGTTGAATCTACATTCTGGTCATAACTTTTGACAAATGTTGCGCCGTGCTTTGGGCTTTCGTATCAGGATAACTTGTCCGAATGGTCTCTAAGCCGGCGTCGATGATACATACATATTTGATAAAGTTCAGAATTTACTATGGAAAGTTTTTACCTGGCTGACGGTAGATTTAATGTAAGAATTAAATAATAAAAAACCCTGAAGAATTAAGTGATGATTAGGCTACCGGCTCCACTTGTTTGTTGTTTCAGCGTTTATGCTGGGAAATAATGTGTGATACTGCTGTGTGTTTTGCAGAGTTTTGTACACAAACCCTTCCCATGTTAACTAGGACAAATTGCTTATTTGAATGTACAGCATTTGCTGAGCCATGCCTATCCTTCAGAACATTGCGATATACGCAGATAGGAAACGAACAACGCAGATAGGAAATCGACAATATGAGCAAATATCAGGTATACCCGATTTGAAACTACAGTTTAAATGCATCGATTATATTTTTAATAACGCGCTCGATGTCACAAGTCTGTGTACATGATTTATGAGTAAAATGGCCGACGCAACAACACGACGGTACGTCGAACTATTCGTGCAGAAAACATTCTAACAGAGGAGAATAATCGAACGAAAACACTATTTACGGTATCTACAGTAGTGCCTGCGTGAGATACATGATAAACTAATAAAGTAACAACACAATAACGTACAACATACATCAACTTGAAAGAATTATCTGGACTGTGTAGAGACAGCGAAAAACAATACTAATAAAAAAGCTTTGATTTGAAAAATCACAAGTGTAAACAATTGGCCACACGATGTTAAATCGCCAAATTAAAGAACAATGTAAAATTAGATAAGTAATAATTTTTATACTGTATATTTCTTGACTGCTATTACATGTACAGCGCACTGCGATAAGCAACGGCCGGTGATATTTACCGGCATGTAATTTTTTCTATATGCGACAGAACGCGGTCACGTGTTGCGGAAGTATATAAAGGTCACCGCCACGGAAAGGTCACGTGGTACGGATGTATCCGCGGTAGTTCTGGTTGCGCGGATGACAGACCCAGCATTTGCACTTGATACTGGCCAGCACCTGGTACACCACGCCGATGACGTTGAGGAGGGCGGCGACGGTGAGGAGGCAGAGGATGAGGAAGGCCATGACCAGGGTGAAGTGCTCCTGCGCCGACTGGTTGCAGATGGGCCGGTAGCGGGCCAGCGTGATGCCGCTGGCCGCCACGCCGATCCCGTTGGCGAAGAGGACGAAGCTGCAGTTGAGGATGAAGTAGCAGCGCCGCAGCAGTTTGTGCCAGGTGAACGGCAGGCCCGACTTACTGGCCGCTGAGCCGCAGGCGCCGCAGACGATGTTCAGCACGCCGATCCACGTCCCGAACCACAGGGCGTCCTCGCCCTCCACCAGCGACCAGCCGCAGGAGAAGATGGGGTAGTGCGCTGCAAAAAGATTAAAAGAACACCGTAAAATACATTTAATTTATTTTAATTTAATTGTAATTAGAGCAGGTAGCCCATTTCCGGCTTGGTTGACAGTTTAGCGTGTTATTTTAAACCAGGCTGAAAATCAAGAAATATTGTCGGAAGAATAGCATCGAGTAACGAAGAATTTAGAAAAACGTTCTAAATTTCTAAAATTATGAAAACAAAACATTAAATTTCAACAATATTTGAATATAAGAAATTACCATATCCTACAGTTTCCAGTAACCGCTCTAGGACATCATTTATCACGTGCACGTAAATGCGTTATTTTAACAATGTGATGCGTACACGCAGGATATAGTGATTTAGGCGACTGAATATTATCGCACAGAATTTTAAAAAATTATTATAAATCTCTATACATGTATTATAGAGTCTTGCTGCATACACAATCGTTATAAGTTATTTAATTCGGTTTATATTTCACGCGGCTACAACCAGGCACAATTGCTTTAAAATTAGATTAAGAAGACGAATTATTATGCGCAATAAGTACAGCACACCTGGGGAACTGTTTAATAACTATTTCTGTGTGAGCGTCATCACCTGCATGTGATACTGCATCATAACTGTTAAATCCGTATATTAAAGTATTTTTCGGCTGTGCGAAATAATTATGGAATTTTTTAATTTTATAAAACTTATGCGCTTTCGTTTACATACGTACAAGTACTTACGTTAGTACACGTAATTAATACATGTATGTACAGTTTTACACATGTAGTATTACATACTCAGTACGTGCATATCTGTACATGTGACTACTTTCAAACTGTGAAGTTTAAACTGCTGGGAACTATTGTGGAAATTGAAGGTCATACAGCAGCTTTAACAAGCAAATAATTGCGTTAATTGTTGCCGGCGTTCGTAAAATTTAAAAGGATACAGCATTCTGCTTCGATGATCCGTGCAAGCCTTCCTGTTTCCGTCTCCCCGTATTAGCGCTCCTGTATACGTGACGTGCTATTCCACCAAGAAACACCGTAATTAGCTACAAGTGAAGCGGAAGAATAGCCGGAAAAATCGATAGCACCGCTGCGGCGCGAGAGGACGCCGAAGCGCCGAGGGGAAACAATGCGCCGGAAGTGCCCAACCGGCAAACGTAAATTGTTTTTGCAGGAATATAATGCCGCGCACCTTAACGCGCGCAGCCTCCGGCAAACAGCAGCGGATCGAATTTATTCATATTCCCCTCGATCGATAGAATAAATGGGCAGCATCTCGAACATATTCGAACGGGAGCTGGAGCGTGGCTGCCCGATAAGGGCGCACAGTGATTAATAGCGTTTTTTCTCTGTGTATAACGCTGTTATGATAGCCCGTGCCTCGGCTCAATAGACTAATCCATTATCCGTCTTGATAAGCTCCGTGAGGGATGAGCGCGATCGGGAGAGAGCGGAGAATGGGACAACACACTCATCCCGACGGATAAAGGATGCTGTTGTCCCGGCGTACAATAAGCCCCTTCACCAAGGGCGATTATTGAGTATAACGACGCGCGCTTGATCTCCGCATTATACGTTACCAATATGGATTCATGTACATGTTTAATATGGATTGAGTTGCACGCACGTCGACATATTTCGATCAATGCCACCGTTCTAGTGTAGCACAAAGGCCGATAATTTTCCCGTTTTGCTGATTATGCATATACATATTACGAGTATACAACATACCGATACTAACGATAAAATATTTCTGCGCGCTCTGAAAAGTTATGTACAGTGTTGTACACTGCGTATGAGCACGAGAGCGGCGAACTACGTACATATAATTATACTGTACATTAGCATCAAAATTCTTTAGTGGAATAATTCATATACGAACTTATTGGGGAAATTAATTATGGCACAATAACTACATCATCCATATAATATATTAGTTATTATAATATTAAAGTATTAAAAAGGGTCATTCAGTGTTAATGAGAATTCTTTTTACCAAGAATTCCCCGAAATTAGTAATCTTTAACAGACAGGTACATGTATGATGTATCTGTACATAGACGTTAATCGTTAATCGAATGATATATCGTGCGTTCACTACTACATTATACTTGTACGCCTCGTGTTATACACTACGTGCCTTCGTAATCAATAATAGCGTATAAGACTATTTGCATAGTTTCAAGTATTAACGGTTCGCTAATGGAATGGTTACTGTCTAATAAATAATTATTGTAGAAAATTTTATAGTTATACTATACGGCGATTATGCGTGGGTGCCTTATGATGCAAACCGACATCCCATATCACATAAATATTTTATTTGGACTATCTCTTTTACTAAATCAGTAAAGCAGAATCCGCATTCTGTAGGTATAACCAGATCGACTTACTGTAAAGATTGGCGAACAACGCCAGGAATCCGAAGACCATCTGCAGGATGGACAGCGCCGTCCAGGCCTTGTGAAACCGGCACTGATTGCCGCTGACCAGTCCCGCCCCGCTGTCCACACTCTTCCCGGGCAGCATCCCGGCCACCGCTCCGCCCACGGCGTTCCCGTACATGAAGCTGGCGCTCTCCCGTCGTCCGCCCAGGGCGTAGTTCAGTCCCAGCGAATCCTGCCGCGGTCGGGCGTCCATGTTGTAGTTGTAGTGCTCCAGCAGCGGTACGGCACTAGGCGCGCCCCCGCGACCCGCCGCCTCCCGGTAGATGCTGGCGTCGCGCTTGATGCTGCCGGCGCCAACCAGGAGCCCGCTATTACCCCCTACAAAAGTCGTGGGCGGGTGAGTAGGCGGGGCAAAGTGGATGATGGGCGTGGCGTAGGGCGCCTTGCTGGCCGAGGTGAAGGAGCCGGCTGCGGTGCGCTTATACGGGTCCATGATTATACTAAATTCGTGCGGGGTGTGCCGTTAGTGTGGGGGAAGGGGAGTTAATCGCGGACACGTGATCGAACCGGTTAGTAGAATACCTTGAACGAATAACGCATTCCCGAAGATATTGTTTAACTAAGCACCCAGATTACTTTACCGTGGAATCGAGGAGGACGGCTAATCGGCGGATAATTGCATTGGCGGGTTGTTGAGCAGGATGAACACGGGGGATTGTGTGGCTGTGTGTGGCTGGGTGAAGGACTCTCTACAGCGGATCAATGGAAGCAGCAGCTTCTTAACAGTGTTACAGCTGGCCGATCGATGGCTAACGCCGATAAGCAGGCCACAGCGCGCGCGGCCGTTTTCACACTGTCCTATAGTGAAAAAACGTGTAGTTGCCGTTAGATGATATGATACAGCGACGCCGAAGTACAGTCGACAGACCAAGGTACAAGTGTACACAGACCCGGCTCGCTCTCTCTCCTTAATTGATTCGTCAGTCACTCTTCTGGGATAACATCGCAGCTGTGTAAACCGTTATGGAGTGTTTTTTCTCCCAGCGTTGCTTTTCCGTTATATGTTGCTGTGTATGAGTGTGTAGCCGTGTCCGACCGGAAACGAGCGAGTGTATATGTACCGCGCTGTACAGTGATACGAGCGTCGTGTTGCCGGTTCGGCCTCATCGATTGCTGGCCGGTTTTTGCGCGATATCATCGCAGCAAATTTAACCGCAGCGCTGTCCATGCTTCGCTGGTCTAGTGTAGCGTACATAACCGCAAATTAAATGTTGCAGCGAAAATCGACCAGCGTCTAATTATTTGTACAGTGCAGTGGACTGTTGCGCGTACAGCGTACATGTACACAGTTTCCGCTGCTTGAAGTATTGAAAGTAGCTTAAGCAGGGCATTCGCTCGGCCGATTTGTACGTAATACAAAATACAGTGATGAACCGTATGTTATTATTTTACCGCAAAATCCATGAGAAACCAGATCAGTTACTGCGAATTATGATGTCATCGAACGTTATTTTCTAGTATACACCGAACTAATTTCTGGCAGTGCTGAAATCTTCAAAAGCTGTAGCAAATTATTAACCAGACATTTTCCATGATTTACATGATCTAATTTCTGGCAACGTTAACATTCTATCATTAAAATCATTAAAACTTGAGTATTTTATAATATAATGATCACATACAATAACCGTACTTGCAGTAATTTTCGAGCAAGTTTTTGAAAATGAATGCAATCATGCAACCAAATTAATATAAGAATGTTTGTCGAAATTCATGGTATTTTACTGAGGCAGGTTGGCCTTAATATAATCTTATAATCTCATAATATTATAATCTCGCAAGAAGATTGAATAAATATGTTAACTGATTTTTTCCTTCACAGTAATGCATTACACGAAATAGTACCTCGCTAAACATAAAGAAGTTCATTATGCAAGAAACATACAGTAATTAATCTCTCAGCAACCAAAAACTGCGCCCTCAGACCATAAGTCAATGTACAAGGCGTAAAGGCGAACGTTGTAGTGACTGTACATAAATGTGGCAAATGTGTATATATGTACCGGACTAATTTACCGAAGTGGCCCGGTACATTCATTGTAACAAACTCGTGTACATGTACAAAAAACTTTCACTTTCGCGCGCTCCCAGTTCCCAAACACCTTTTTGCATGTTTTATGACGTTCTGGAGCCAGATAATTTGTCTACATAGGCGTGAAAACCGTTTGTGAAAACATCCGGTTCGGGAGTTATGGCTGTAAGAAAATTCCTAAAAGTTTAAATGCATATTCAAGCGTGTCACCAATCTGCGTGTAAACGCTTTCGTATATGTACACGAATTTGGTACCATGTACCGGGTCACAGAGATTGATACGCGGAACAACAACTACGTATATAAACTCCCACGTTTTGTGTAGCAACTACGTAAATGGTACATACGATCTTTAATATACAAGTTTAATTATAGGAAATTTCGTACGTACTGTTTAAAGCAAATCGCGGTACATTATCATCTGTGAAACGTCATGAACAGTACCTATAACTTTAACATTTATGTATTGTAACTTTAACGCTGTTTATTTATTCAGTTTTGTTATTGTAAATTATATGAATCAACAAATTAGCCGCTGATCGTTTTACTTTGGCTGGAAGTGGTAGCGTCTAAAGGTCACTGGTATTAATTAGCATAAAGCGTAAGAAGGCGAGAGATGTCCAGTAACATCGTAACATCGGTCAGGACTACATATTTCGTGCTCTGGGCTTCGAGACGCTTGGACCGCCCGGACCGGATGCTGCCCGCACGATAACGGAATTTGGACAGATGATACGACAGGAAACCGGCGAAAAACGAGCTACGGAATATCTTCGCCAGCGGATCAGCATGGAAATTCTACGAGGAAATGCAGCATCGATCTTGGGACAGCGCCGATGGGAGCAAATTTAGATCAAATTTTCTCTGTAATTAGGCCGCCTGTGATGCTTAATGAGTGATTGTTTCCATATCTGTGTTGATCTGAAATCCACTGTTAATTGTAATAATAAATAGATAACATAAAAAAAGTGATTTCTATCGTAAATGTACAGATAACGTTAACGCATATTTAGTGCGGAAGTTGCGCTATGAACAACTGCATATGGCCACCACACAATGCCTTACACAATTCCTGTTAAATATATAGGTAATTATATAGGACACAAGTTAATATTTTATAATTTTTATCGTTAGAGTATGATTTCAATGGGTAACTGGCATGTACTAGCCATGCCGAATGAGTGTAAAGCGTAAATAGTATGGCATCCGCGCCGTGGTATGAAATAAGAAGTTTGGCGTAGTCCGTGAAGTTTATTTGTCGCTGTGCTAATGCGATGGAAATTACGGGACAAACTTGTTTAGTCTTGTCCACCGAGTCCAACGCGGATGACAATAAAGTGTTTACCGATGACGACATGTTGCATACACGATGGAAGAGTGACAAGTGACATGTCCTGACCTAATGCACCCGATTAGCCGCGGCGCATGCAGCGTGCACTGACCACGCCGCAATATCCGCCCGCAGCCTTCCTGCTACGACCGGCCACGGCACGCGCTGACCTCGCCGAGGCCGCTTCATTTATCTACGGAACAATCGCGACGATATCGACGTGTTTTTAATTAACCTAGGTTATACTATGGACTATACACGGAGCAGTAACAAGACCGGCTTGCCGCTGATTGCGCCGCACATAACTGCCAACATACACTGCACATCATGGCGCCCAACACGCTCTCTCGCCTTGCGCTTCAACATAATAACACAATTAATCAAAAAAAGAAAACACACTGTCGCGTAAGAGAACAAGTTAACCGCTGACCGGCAGCGGTCGGCCCCGTCCGCACGACAGCCACGCACAGGATCCAAACAAACAACATCCGGTCCGGGAATGGGGGGAAGAGTAGGGAAAACGGGGGCAGGGTGAGGGTGGTGGTGTTTAGCCGCTGTAGCTGGTGCCCGGGGAGGGTGAGGGCGAGTACGAGTAAGATGACGAAGGCGATGGCGAAGGGGACATGGGAGAGGGGGAGGGAGAGTAGGAATAAGAGGATGGCGAGGATGGCGAGGAGTAGGAGGTTCCTGGCGTGTAGGATCCGCCCGGAGTCGAGCCGCCCGGGGAATTGCTGCCCATGAACACCGGGTATATGGGGTAGGGGATGTAAACCACGGGGGCCACGGCGCTGCTGCCGCTGCTGGTGGTGGTGGTGGTGCTGCCGCAGTTGCTGAGGACGCTGGTCAGGGTCGAGGTCGACGAGAGCTGTAAATCGGAATATATATTATTCGGCTGTTCGACGGGGTTTCTTAGATTTCTTAGGTTTCTTAGATTTCTTAGGTTCTCTTACCACGCCGGTACGGGTGACGCGATAGATGGTGGAGCCGCAGAAGTAGACGAGAATGTCCAGGCTCGATACGTAGGTCACCGCGCTGCAGTTGATGTAGGGGCTCGTGCCGATGACGCCGGGTGGGGTGATGCTGATGCCGCTGGTGGTGTTGCTGCCGCAGTTGAAGAGGTAGCCCAGTGGCAGACCCACCACGAACCCGTCACCGTCTGCAAGTAGAAAATTGTTGTTGTTTAGCGAGCAAAATGATTATGTAAAAACATTTTTAACATGAATTATTATGTGTTTGTAATACTGATATCATTTATTTGACTCGTGTGTGTTGCGGCTAAAATACTCACCAAGATGGTAGATAGTGGTGGAGCCGCCCACCCGGAAGGCCTGGTTGGGGGTACCACCCACACCAAGGTTGGTGTTGAGGTTGGGGCCGGAGCAACTGATAGAGCTGGTGCGGTAGCTGGTGGTGTAGTATTGGTCGTTCAGCTGTCAATTATACACGATACTCTTCATTCCGTTAGAAACAAACGAAATATGCACTGTTTACCGAGAAATGTGAGTATTTCACAATGTTACATCACCGTAATTTTTGAATTATTTCAGCATAATTGTATATACTGTATGCAGTAATTTGTATTAAGCGGATCATATACTTTATATTTTCTTACTACATTTGTAAACTATGTCAATTAATTTATTTTATAATTTAGTTAGAATTAGTTTAATTTATTTTCGATGGACATACGTTGAAGAAGACGACATCGCAGTTGCCGTTGACGGTGGCTTCCGAGAGGTCACGCGTCACACAACCGCCGCTGATGGCCGACAGCGCAATGGGTCCGGCACGCAGGGTCATGGCGCCGGTGCTGGAGACGTCGTACAGCCACACGTAGGCGCCGGATGCGATGTAGACGGTGCCGTTGCACAGCGTCCAGGCGGCGTCGATGCTGCCGGTACAGACGTCGTTGGTGGAGGGCGTGGTCGTGCCCAGCTACACATATACCAGACGTTGGTTAATCAGGCAGAATGACCATCGTGCATATATATCGCTCTTGCGCCGTAATAATAATAGTAATAATAATAATAATGATAATAATTATAATATTTTGCAGCACAACGCGGCGCTTACATAGACGCAGCAGGTGGTTTCGAAGAAAGCCGGCGCAATGTTCAAGCAGTCGAAGGTGGGCGATTTAGTGTAGCCGTCGGGGCAGCGACCCGAGGGAATGGGGCGGCGGGAGAAGTAGTTCAGGTCGTACGTTTCGATCAGCGGCAGATCCGGGTAGTTGCAGTAGTTGCGGTCGTCACCGCCGCAGGCGATCGGGTAGTTGGTCGGGATGGAGGCCACATTGTATGCTAAACAGGGACGAAATATTATACAATGTTTATTTAGCCATAGCCGGTTCACAGAACAAGCCGGCGCTGATGGACACTAATTAAAATATGATTCAATATTTAAACACTGAAAAAAACAGCTAACATCAAAACGAAGTGATACGTTCAAGCCGGTCCATTTAATTATGGGCGGTTTTGAGACTCACTTAATTTCCGTAGTTGCTTGATTTTTCTCCGCCAAAAATGTACTTTAATGCTTAATCTGTTATCGAAAGAAATGGGCTTATGAAAATGCACATTATCTAGATAAAATTAAAAAGTGTTTGGCGAACTTTATTTAATGTGGAAATTACACGATAAAAATGTTGATATTTAATTTCTCAATATGTGCAAGGCGAGCTTCGCTCAACAAACATGATCAAATGAAGAATTTGTCCCAATTAACATGGGAAGGGACCGTGCACACGATAAAATATTTCCGACGGTTAAAGAAAATGAATAAGAAAATTAATTTTATACCGTTTTTTTGCCGGTATTGTGCGGTTACTTACTGAAGTTGGCGAAACCGTTGAGGGAAAATATGGATAGCGGGATGGACTGACGGCCCTCGCGCCCGTTGGCGGCCGCCCCTTCGACCGCCTGCTCCGGCTCGGCGATCTCTTTGAGGTAGTTGTAGAAGGCGCGCGCGTCACTGGCCAGCGCTGTCCTGACTGTGCAGAGGAGGACGAGGGAGAAAATTTTGAGTATCATTGTGAAATATGGATTGGATCGACACAGAATCCGGATGTATCCAATCAGATCAATGGTAATCCCGGGCCCGGCCGAATGAACACCGGCTCCGCTGGCAGAACGGGACAGAATAGCGTGTTAATCCCTTAACGTATGGATCCTCTCCCTAGTGAAGCGTATGCGTGACCTTTCGATGCAACAGGGCCGAAGCTTAAGAGCAAAGACGTACCTGTTGCTGCAGCACAAGAGCGCAGTCGTGAATCCGTCAATGAGAAGAATGATGAAATAAATAAAGCGGCGGAGACTCGAAGATGCGGCGCGTGTCTATCTATGTCTAATTGTGATGCGGCAATGGCGCTCTACATGACCTGATAAGCGGTACGCGTTACGCGGAACAATTAACGCCGATCGCTGTATCAACACGCCCGCTTTGACAGATCGAATCTCCGGTGTATATGAATGTGTGTCTGTATATATTAGATTTTTCTATCAGAATATAATGTATGCCCGGTAAGAGGAAATGCTGGCCAGTGTTTGATTGCTCATTAAGTAGTCAGCGGTGAGAATTGTCTGGAGGCCATCACGGCCTATAAAACGAACATGCTGCTGTGTATGTGTGTACATGATGCGGCGATCAGCGAGAGCAGGAGACGGCAAAGATTAATGGCCAGTGTATGTCTAATGTAAGAGAAGATGCGAGCGGAGGTTTGTAGGTAGCTAGTTCCTCCTTCCTTCCATCATGTTTCATCAGAGATGTATCGACGCTCATGCGCAGATGTAGGTAGCGATGCCGACAAGTGATCCGTCGGACGCCGCACAGGGCACCGCATGTCACCTACTTTCGGTTTCTTCTTCTTGCGCGCCGGATATATGCAGTGCGCGCATGATTTCTATCTGCCGTCAAAATCAGGACTTGTCGGTGTTTATCGCGCTGCATATATACCGCCGATCCTTGCCACAACACTGTATATCATCGCCACAGCCGCTATGATATGCTGTTTACCGTTTGCATTGTGTGTTTACGTAACGCCCGCTTGTCAACCCGCGCTGGCCTGCTTACATGTGACACCGTCTAATTGGTGCAGCGTCGTCAGTGACGTACCAATACTCGCGCGCGCACAAAGTGGATATTTGCATGTTCACTCTCGCTGCTCATTCGGATCTAACCAGAGCACACACAGTCGCGCTGTCAGTGCATGTATGATCGACATAGGTTCATATACCGCTCGCATCTGCATGTACGTGGGATGCCCGGAGTGACCTTTACTGCTGACCGCGTATTTTGTCACGATTCGCCAGACACTGCGTCATCGTAAGGGAAAATGTCCAGCAGTTGGCTGTAGCGCCAAGTTGCGCAATCAGAACAGGTTACGGGCCGTTGTTCAGAAATTACCCGTTTCAATGTCAGTGCGCGTAGCGCAACATCACACATAAAGTGCTCTGTGTACAGAGCGCACCGCCTATTCTTTTCCCATTAAACTAAATATCCCAAAGCAATATTACAGCCGGCATTACGGTACTGAACATCCGTCAGAAAATCAAATTAATAGAACTGATATCAGCTGACCGATCCCGCTGTTTTACTCTTGGATCTCACTTAAACATAGTAACCTGGTACATCAACCATAACTAGGCTTATCTGCTAAACGTTTTGCCAACACGCACTCTTAACGAATGCTTTTTACAGTACTGTTTTTTTAAAAATTACTAGTATATGTACACTTCTGAGATTTAACTGAGTTTAACTGAGATTGTCTTATTATAATTTAATAGAAACAGTGTATATATCTGTGTTGCTGAATCAATACAAGACGTCAAACGGTAACGAACGATTTCAAAAGATTACAATGCGAGCAGATGTAACAAAGTTATCGTTACATCTTAGAGCGATATTCTTCTGTTTTTTTCACGGAAAACGCATATAAATATGAAGACTAATTACTGTAATTTTAACATCGCGCTTTCATTCTACGATACTGTAATGTAATTTTAAATGGTCATATGAATGCGTGCACGTGTAGAGCGTGAAAGAGGCCGGTCTACAATGAGCCTTTGGAGACATGTGTTTGCATTTGCATCTTCTGCATCCTGTTTTCGAAGTCCTAAGCGCTTCTTAAGAGCATCGTTATAATACTATGTATCTGCAAGTTTCTGAAAATCCCCAATTTTCTCCATACGAAGTATTCATTTTTGTCGCAGAAAGCTACTTTATTAATTTTTCAAACCACATGCGTTTCTGTAGTCAAATACACAGCCGTAAAAAATTCGTATAAACGTCGGTGTGAGATCACAATTCCTGTTGTGCACGTTCGGTTGGGGGAAAATGCGTGAACTGACGACTGCACGTAGGTTGGAAAAGGATCAAGGTCGCTAGTAAACTATGACTATGATTATAAGACGCGACAAACACCGGATCGTAGCGCAGCCAGATCGCCGGTCAAATTTTGTTAGAATATCGCCTACAAACGAATGAAGAACAGGAACGTAAAAATAAAATGTCCGGTTTGCAACAGAACTGGACAACTTCCGATAAATGTACGCCGTCAGGTTGCGCTGAGGGTAAACTGGTCGGAACAGGTCACAACAACATGGGGAACCGCTTAGACAACATTCATGCGCTTTATGAAACACTTTACACTACCACACCGAGCGGTTGAAATTGCTAAAATCGCCGGAATGCCCTGCGTTTTCTTGAACATTATGTTAGACTGTAAAGTAAAATGGTTTCCGGAAGCATCTAGGTTTGCTTTTAAGAAAGTCGCTCCGCGCTTTCGGAATTAAATTAAATTAAAGTACTATGGTTGGGACACAAACTTTACTGTACTATCTATCAGCTGATAAGGGATGCGCGGGTGCGCACGTCGTAATTATCGAATGCCGCATAACTTTCAATTGACTTACACAGGCTGACACAACAGTTAAGCTAGAAACCAGCGTTTCACACCACCGTCTTCTTCATCTTCACCAGTATTACCGTAACATGCGGCGCATCGCGAATTCAAGGCAGTCGCAATACCTACACACGCCATGACTTCCGCATGAAGAACGCCCCAGAGGCACATCTTTAAATTACTGCGAAACGAAATACATGTCAAATAACGCATACGACCAAGCAGTCATCTGTAACGTGGACGGCGTTCTCACCGGCAAACACTGCACTGACTGCCGAATTCCATTCTGAAGTAATTTGCGTAAACCCGAAAGCCTTATTTTGCTCGCACACTGTTTTATCATACTACAATGTATTTTACCGACATTCGGTGTACCGTATAGATGCCAGTACGGAAACGTTACATAATATATTAGTATGTTTCATGGTAAGGTTTTCCTAACAATATACTAGGGTGTTCTACTTTTCGTGACCTTTCGAAACCGCACGATCCGAATTAAGTTATCACTGTTATAAACAGATTACGCGTACATATATTACAATTTGCATAATATTAAAATAAAAGGCATAACGGGAATTTAACAGAAAAAATCCGATGGGGGTAAGAAAAAACCACAGCTCGCTTGTCACAACGTGTATACAACAGAAACTTGAATGCTCAAAATGAAACACAAACGAGAACAAGAACGCTTTCATCCAGAAAAGTCATCCGCATCCGCCAATCCAATTAGGAAACAACAGGAACTAACCCTTCCTCATCTACATCTTCAGTTCCCCTTAGAGCGCATTGATGGCCCGGCCCAGCTCGTTGACCGCCACCGCCGGTCCGCCGGTGTCCGTGAAGCAGCACCAGTGTCCCATCTTACACTGCGGCGACTTGGAGACCCGCTGGTTCTTGCAGCGCACCCGCAGGTCGCGCGTCGGCATGCACAGGCCGTTGGTGATGTCCGGCTTGCTGTTGGGCGTGCACTGCGTCTCCCCGCTGGCCACTTCCGGGGTCGCGGGGACCTCGGCGGTCAGGACCGGCGGTGGTTGGGTGGCGGCCGGGGGTTCCACGATGACGTTGGACTCGGCGGGGTCGCTAAAGCAGCACCAGCTGCCCATGTCGCAGTCCATGGAGGGCGAGGCCTTCTGGTCCACGCAGCTGGAGCGCAGTTCCCGGATGGTCATGCACTTGCCGTCCTTCACGGCCGGGTTGGAGTTGGGCGAGCAGATCTTCACCGGCATCTGCACCGCCGCCACGATCACGGAGACGCCGTCCTTGTTGGGGGAGGACACGCTGACGGAGGCGCCGCCCTGGGCGGGCGGATTGACGTTGACGGAGACGGCGGGTTGGGAAGGGTTCGGGAGGTTGACGTTGGGTTGCTGCTGGTTGGGAGGGTTCCCGTTAGATTGTTGCTGGTTAGGGAGATTCACGGGAGCTTGGTTGTGGTTCTCCTCGCCTTGGGAAACGCTGACCGACACCTGCGGGGGGTTGACGTTCGGCTGCTGGTTCGGGAGGTTCACCGGCGGCTGTTGGACGTTGACGGCGACCTGTGGAGGGCTAACGTTCTGTTGCTGCTGTTTATCGTTGGATGCCTGGTCGATGGTCACGGACACCTGGTTCTGGTTTCCGGATTGGGCGGAAGCCGATCCGGCGGCGCTGGCGCCCTGTCCCTGTCCGACACTGACGACCAACTGACCATTTCCGGTCGGGACCTGCACTTCCACCTTCTTGGAGACGTCCGAGGCGCCGTTCACCTGGTTGGCAGTGTCGCTGACCTTGCTGGCGTCACCGGCCGCGCTGTCCGCGCCGGCCACGTCATCGTAGCAGCAGAAGCGGCCGAAGGAGCAGTCCTTGGAGACGGAAGCTTTCTTTTCGATACACTGGACACTGAGCTGGCGCATCGTCAGACAGATGCCGTTGTGGACGCTGGGGTTCTCGTTCGGAGTGCAACTGACCACTCCCGGAAGTTTGACATCGGTTCCGGAGCCTGTTCCCTGGTTTTTGTTCGCGTCAGAGCCGGCGCCGGAATCGTGGTTGTCGGGCGCCACCGCTTCCTTGTTGACGGTCTGGACGTCGGCGGGAACGATGGTCTGGACGGCCGGTTGCGGCGCTTGTGCCGGGGTCACGTTCTCCGGGAAGATGCAGCACCATTCCCGCGCCTGGCAGTCATCGGATTTGGCGGCGGCGCGGGCTTTGCATTCCTTGGCCAAACCGGATGTGGAGACGCACTGGCCAAGTTGGGCGCGGTTGCTGTTGGGGTGGCACTGTTTGATGGCGAAGGATTCCGCGGACGGTTGCGCTGCTTGTTGGGGTTGTTGAACAGGCGGCTGTTGAATCGGTGGTTGCTGAATCGATGGCTGTTGAACCGGCGGCTGTGGCTGTTCCTGTTTGGTCTCCGTCGGGGCTTCCGACGCGGAGAAGCAGCACATTTCCCCGCTGGCGCATCCCGACGCCATCTTCGTCATACTGAGCGATCGGCATTCGGAGGACAGCTGGGATTTCTGGACACACTTGCCGGTCACCCCGGGGCGATTGGATGGTTGACAGCTGGCGCGGCTGCCGACTTGCTCGCGGTTGGGAGCCGGGCTGGCGGCGTACGGGGCATAGGTGGTGGTCACCGGCGCGGGTGTCGGGCCGCCTGATGGTGGCGATGGGGTTGGGCTGCCGGAGGGAGGTGCTGGTGTCGGGCTTCCGGAAGGCGGGGCTGGTGTTGGGCTGCCTGACGGCGGAGCCATAGTGGGACCGGGAGTAGGCCCCGGAGTTGGTCCGGGAGTAGGCGGCGGACCTGGAGTCGGACTTGGTGGTGCCGGAGTGGGACTTGGCGGAGCGGGTGTTGGGCTTCCGGAAGGAGGAGCCGGTGTCGGGCTTCCCGAGGTTGGTGCGGGAGTCGGGGTGGGACTTGGTGCCGGTCCTGGCCCGGGTGTTGGGCTAGGCGCCGGAGTTTGTCCGGGTGTAGGCGCTGGTGTCGGTCCGGGAGTAGGCGACGGGCCTGGAGTGGGACTTGGTGGAGCGGGTGTCGGGCTTGGTGGTGCCGGAGTCGGACTAGGTGGCGCGGGCGTTGGACTTGGAGGTGCCGGTGTGGGACTGGGCGTCGGTCCGGGTCCGGGTGCCTGCGTCGGGCTGGGGCTGGGTGTCGGTCCTGGTCCTGGTGCCGGTGTCGGGCTACCTGACGGCGGGGCCGGTGTGGGACCTCCGGAAGGCGGTGCGGGTGTCGGGCTAGGACTAGGCGTCGGCCCCGGTCCGGGTGCCGGTGTCGGCACATTCAGAAAACAACAGAACTGACCGTTAGCGCACTGATTGGACTTGGACATCTGTTTGCCGCGACAGTTAGTCGTCAGCATGTTTAGATTCCAGCACACGCCGTTTGTCACCGTGGGGTTGCTCAGCGGCGAGCAGGCACCGCCATTCATCGGGGTGGTGGTCACCGGACCCGGTGTCGTCGTCACCCCGCCAGCGGGAGGTGTCGAGCCGGATCCCCCGGACGCCGTAGACCCTCCGGGAGTCTGCGTGGTCCCTCCGGGCGCCGGTGTCGGGCCATTCCCGCCTCCTCCGGGGCTGGCGGTGGTTGCCGTTGACGGGACGTTAAAAAAGCAGCACTTTTGACTGGGTCCGCAGTCAGAGGACAGTGACAACTGCAGGGTCCGGCATTTTTGGGCGATTTGGGAGTCATTGACGCAGACGCCGTTCTTGACGGACGGTTGGGTGCGGGGCGAGCAGGCCTTGCCGGTCGGGAGGTAGGGCCCGCTAGTGGTACCGGTGCCGCTTCCACTGCCGCTTCCGCTGCCGTAGCCACCGCCCGTGGCGGTCCCGGTGTTGCTGCTGCTGCCATAGCTGCCACTCGTGCCGCTCCCGGTGCCGGTACCGTAGCCGCCCGAGGAGGCGGCGTTGTTGTTGTAGGCGTCGCTGTACACGTTGGAGGCGTCCGAGTCGAAGAAGGAGTCGTCTACGGAGGGCTCGTAGCTGGGGAACATAAACTCGATGTCCATCGGGCCAAAACCGTTGGGTGGTGCTGTGAATAGGACTTGTTAATTTTTATGTAAGGTTTCTTAAGTTGGTTTCTTAAGGGGATCCCTGTGAGATGAAAGTGGGTCTGGCAAAACATGAATAGGTTAAAAACAACTGGAAGATCATTGTTTCCATTGTTCTGACTGCATGCGCAAAGGGTTTGGCTACACAATGGTGTACTGCGATCTTGTCTACGCTCTCTCTGGACAGAGCTATTCAAGAAACAAAGGAAAAACTTTGAATTCAAAAGTCGAATGAGAAAGTTTTTTCAAATTAGATGTGATACACATCATTGGATGTGTTTTAGCCTAGAAAGCTTATATTCTCCAACATGCTAATAAAAAATGTTGTTAGTTTACAAAAAAATCGAGAAAAACACTTTTTGAAAAGTGTTTTTTTGAGTTTATTCAAACATGCCTTATTGAACTATGGCAGTGTCTCGGTATATAAGATTTCTAGAAAATAACACATTATCTGATGCCCATTTGGAAAGTGTAGCAAGTTTTACAATGGAGTTATCGATTTTTAAAGCCATTTCACAAGTTTTTGGAAAACGGCAGCTGAATGAAAGGCTTGCTGACTGACCGGCAGCAATGTGTGGCAGAGCCGGTTACCCAAGCCCGCGTTTTGCAGGATAGAGATCAGACAGAGCATAGCTAGAGAGGGAAGAATCAGCTTGGCTCCGGCCACAGGACAGCATGAGGCGTTCTGTTCTGCTGTCCAGGCCTATCTGCCATGCGGCTGGCCATGGCTAGCCGATAACATCATTGCACTTACTTCGCCTATGCTGACCCGGTCTTGTTTTTTTACTAATAACTTATGATCGCAATACAATATATCCCATCGAGACATACTATTTGAAAGCCCGAAAAATTTCCTACAAGCTGATGTTAATATCGATAACCCATTTATATGAATGTCATCTCATAGTGATCCCCTTAAGTGATGCGGCATTAAGGTAAAAATCGCTTCATCAATGAAGCTACCGACAAAATTGAAAAAAACTTTCTATGCGCTTTTGTTCCATAAAAAACTGCACAAAAAATTCATACGAGTAGCATGAGAATTTAATAAACAATATATATTTGATTAATAAAGACAATGGATATCTAAGAAAGATAAAAATATTTGTATAGAAAAAAGTCTATTAAATTTTACATTTTTTTTTAGATGAAAAACTATCTACAGTCTGAAGTTCGGTGCTCGATAAAACATTCCGCAGCTCGATGCAACTATAAACTGTTTAAACTATAAACCTCAGTTGTTTTTCATTAGTGTCTATCAGCGCGGTCTCCTTGTTATGCTAGTTCGCTGTTGCCTGAATAAAAGTAAAATAAAGTGTTTTAAAACTACTCCGTTAGACTTTTTATATACAGATTCAATACGATTTTCCAGTTAATCTATTTTAGCAGAAAATCCCATAACAACGCCCATTAAAGCGTGGATGGTTGTTATGCAAGTTTTATAGAAGTCGATATTGCATAAATGCATTGATAATATTTTTGTCCTTCTGTATACATACAACTTTAGCTAAATCCGCTTATTACGAAAACCATAATATTATTTTCATGAACATCAGTAAGTACTATAAATGCCGGTAATGCCAATCAGAGGAAAATGCTAAAAAACTGCGCAGTCTAACTCGTCACGGATCGAATAGCAATCCGTAGCGTTATTAGGGTTAACTACCCTGTCCATCACTTGTCAAGAAGATGCAGCGTCTTTCGAAAGAGTCGGAAAAAAAGCTTTATGTAGAAAAACAGTCCGAAAACTACCGCATCGCTGTATCGATACATAGTGGCTAGAACGTTATTTCTTGAACTTACATGGCGGCCGCGGCATCTTCGGCATTTTGTTGGGGTCATTCTCGTAATTGCCAATGTTAGGCTGCGGCATCGGCCGGGGCGGTCGCGGCGGCACCGGCGGATTCGGCAGCGCTACAATCAGATGAAATGCACTTTGCAAACTTTATCAAATTATTCCGATATATATGTACATAAAGTTATAATACAGTAATTATGACAATCGTGTGCAATTCAACCGGAGACAAGAACTACAATGAATACTTTAAGAAACTTGATGCTAATTTTCCGGTTGGCTTCCTTTAAACCCTTTGAAAGGATAATAATTGAAATATAACAGCGCATTAACTGCCAATAAATTGACGTAAATAGTTGCAGTTATTCCAGATATAATCGTAGTTCTGCAGCAAACACTGAATATGATGCATTCGATTACCGGTATAATAATGTCAGTTCCGTATATTAGTGTTTACGAACACATTTGGCGAATAATCTTTAGGAAATTAAAATAAAATACATAAAAATGATTTTATTGCAAAATTGATTCTATCAAATACATGGACGCGCGAAATGTTTGGCCAAATATTCGGGAGCTGCCCGAAAGTCGGTGAGGTTAAAAAGAGACAGGATAACTGTCGACAACGGCAGACCGCAGACGTACCTATTTTCACCCGCTGTTGGGAATTTTGATTAATATCCATGGAGTTGAACATGTAGTCGAAGTTGTCCTGATAGTTATCGTTACTGCTCGTCCCGTAGGCCGAGGAGGAGACGCTGTTGTAGGAGGAGCCCGGGGAGGAGTAGGCGCGGGCGCTCTTGCGCGCCTTGACGGCGGCGCAGACGCCCAGGGCGCAGGTCAGCAGGAGGAGCGTTGCGCACGCGCGCCCGCCCATGCTGGCGACGGGATGGTGTGGAGGGAAAGCGCGGGCAGCACGCAAATCACAATACAATCAGATGGGGGTGTGAGGTATCCGGCTGGAACAGGGACTCTCATGCAGCGCCAGACAATCGTATTATACAGGTACAGGTTATACTATTGTGATTGTCTGGTTAATTAAGTGTGCCGCGCGAATGACACCACACGGATCCGCTGCAGCGATGGATGTGACTGTGGCCTTAAAGCTGCATTTTGACCCGCAATCCGCGCTTAGTATTCTTCTGCCTCGTCAAGTTCACGATCACTGTACTGTACTATCAGGTATGCTGTGTGTTGCATGTGTGATTAATGGCCGGTACGGATGGTGATATGCGGAGCGGCTGCGTGCGTCGGATTTGGCGGAAAAAGAGAAGAAGATACACACCGCACTCGACAACACCGTACATACAGCACACAAGAACCACAATTCGCCCGCGGGCCACCAACAAACAGATACCGTCAGCCGTATATCGATTGTCGATTGATGATGGTCAGAAACGGAAATTATTCATATTCACCGTTGTTGACTAATTTCTGTCCAACTGACCTACAGAGCACTGCGGCCAGTGAACACGGCGCGATCTCTCATCGGCAGCCTAGTTCCACTTTTTGCCCTATCGCTGCTAACCGTATCAACACCAACCCCACCGACAACAGTTAAACTAAAGTTGATCACTGGTAATGTGCGGATGTCTGTCTGTGTTCGGGCACCGATTTACGGATTTACATGAGCCCGATACAAAAGAGTCGGGTTCGTCATGCACTGCCATCCCTTTCCCAGATTAGGCATTTTATGCGGGAATAACACGCTTCGCACGGCAGTGAAGCTTTGATTGTTCGTTAAAGCGACGGAATGTGCGCGTGATGTGATGATAGAAACAACCAGCGAGGGGTACATTGAAACCGGAAGTCAGCCTTCATACATGTGGCTATGTTTACCATGCGGCATGCGTGCCGTTCGTATCTGTACGGCGAGCGAAGACTGCGCAATGTCCGCTATCAGGTCGATGAACGGCGTACACGGCCATATTCTGGTAACAGGCAACGAATACGCCGTCTAACGCAGGCATGTCAGAGGCGGACCATCGGCTAACACTTGGACAACACTGCTTCTAAGCCGGTGTAAATACAGTTAACAGCCACGGCTTTAATTTGCGAAGGCCATTGCCAATATAATGTTGCCCATAATTACCACAGAAACAATCCAGCTAATTCTCGAAATTTAAATCAGTCATAAAAATCAATTCACTTTCATAAGAAACCATTCATAAAAAACCTCACACACCTTCATACAAATCAGTTCACTTTCGCTAATTGTATAAAATCATTTGCAGTTGTACTACCTCAGTATACAATACATAAAAATATAGTATAGTTTTAATTTTTTTCCACGTCGGAGTGAGGACTGTATGAACAATATTAGCATATATTTCTCTACTTGAAACCTTCCCAAAATTAATGCATGGTCGGTAGTGGGTACTTCATCAACATTACCGAATAGGCGAATACAAATTACCGTAAAGCGCATCACAGGTAGACTGCATGGTAAGTACAGAGTACATATACAGATACAAATAGTGACGAAAGACAACTGGTCAACACTCAACACTAAAACCGGTTTAATACGCGCGCGAAAATGTATACCGCAGTTCGCAGTAGCATGTTAAAAGCGCTGTCACGGTGTATGAGCTTCATTCATAGTATACGCTGCCACCCGAAGGAGGACACACTTAGCGCCTTTTGTCCGCCAGTTGCACAAGCAAAAGCGGGAGATCCATGCTGCGCCACTGTGCGAGAATGCGGTGGCATGCGGACGGCGGCTACATAGGGCGTCATGAGATCGTGTTTCTGATTGAGATATCATTCATAACGTACCGGCTCCGCCGTCCGGACACACCCGACGCTCACCGTGTCGGCGTAACAGCGGCGTTATCATGATACAGTACATTAATCTTGAATAATATTCAAGATTAATGTATCATGCACCTTGTTGCACCAAAGGTCACATATATATAAATGTGACCTTTGGTGCAAAATCAAATACTATATTGTCCCGATTTCTGGGTTGTTTGGCACTGAGAAGCTGTCCGTTCAAACACCGTGTTATACAACCGATAATTTATCAATGCGAAAGAGAGTTCTTTTCGGGAAGGAACTCGGCGCCAAAGAGCATGCTAATGCAACAATTGCTAATCAGATACTAAGTCGATACTTGCTAATCAGATAAACGATACTAAGTCTTAATACATTTTTGTAAATCCAGTGTTAAATTCTAATTAAAATTGAAAGTTAAGAATAATCTTCATTGGGATAAGTCCAATGTACCACAGACGACAGAATGCAGCTATAATACAAAGGACGCTCCAAAAGTAAGTTTCGCTATTTTGCCTCCCTGCCATCTGAAGTAATGTACAACAGATATATTTTTTGTTAAATAAGCAATTATGTGAACTAACCAGGAAAATAAGAATCAAATGGTCTGATGAAAAACGGGAGAAAGGAGAAATAAAATGGCTCGTGCCGCTTTTTCAGTTTGTCCACGGACTTTTTAAAACCCGATTCATTCTTGCATCACTTCCGCCCGAGTCAAGTTTTCGACAATGAATTAAAAGTGTTAATAGCAAATTGTATGCCTAATATTTCTCTAGTCGCAGATCATCTTGGAAAGTTCAAGAGCCTGAGTAAAAATTTTTTTACTTGGGACACCACATTTTGTCTTGTTCAGCCTTCTCGCTCCTATGAATTCAAGAGTCTTTGCTTCAATGAAAAGAACATTTTATGCGCATCTAAGATACCAATTGACTTTAAGTTACAGCGAGGACAATAATTTTTTCCCATTAAATTTAGATTTTTTCAGCGTCTGGAAGTAGGGCAGCTTTGTGGGTTTTGCTCCTAGTCATCGATAGTTTCTATTTTCCCAGAAAAACATTATGGGTAGGTTCTTTTGTTTATTAATTGAGATTAGAAGAGAGAAGAATACTCAACTTGTGGACGCTTAGTGCGTTACAAAAAGTTAAGAGGATGTTTGAGAAAAATTGCAAAAACTGTCTTGCCATCCAACAAGCCCAAGATCAAAGCAGAGATGCGGATGGTCGCGGGCAAGGTTGCTGACGGTGTAGTAAGACCATTAACCGGAAAATTGGTCACCGGTCTTACTACCCCGTCAATATCCTTTCCAGCATCTGGAAGCCATCAAACAGTATCATCAGTTTTGGAACTATCGGTAAATTATTATTATTACTTTTTTCATGATGCAAAAGTGTCCATTATTATACAATCTAAATACAGTGATTTAAGAAAATTAAATAGCAGTCTCTGAATGATAGATTGTTTCTTTGTAGCTGTGTATGCATTTAAAACAGGTATGAATCTAAAAAAGTAATGATGTTTCCGATCATGTCGGGTCAAACTGTATGCTGACAGCCGCCTGTATATCTTTCTGTAAGTACATATTATAGCTTCTCCCTGTAAGTACATACAAAGGACGCTCCAAAAGTAAGTTTCCCTATTTTGTATCTCCCAGCACAAAGGCCTTTAGCTGTTATTATCCATACAGATATAAATGCCCTTCACTAAGGAACCGAAGAAAAATATAACTTAGTTTAAGTACAATCAAATGGAAAGAATTGCCAAAAAAACCATCGACCACTTTTCGCACTTGTGCCACGGATTTTACGCACTCCCGGGCCAAATGTCCAAACTTCCCGCACTTATAACAACTGCGTTGACCTCTTGGGGTTTGGCTTCCCTGTAAGACCACTCCCTCCAGGTTTAGCCGTAGCCGGTCGACTCGCCGACTCTCCATCCTCACCGCTGAACGGATTCCGTCCAAACGTGCGGTCCAGCACAATCGTAGTGGCAGAGCTGCCCCACGCCTAACGACCGGTGCGGAGCGCTCCGCGGTCATTCCACTTTAGTTGTCAGCTGTCGACATTTCTTCGCCGAACGACCACTCCAACATCAATCTCTCCCTTAATCCGGGACGAGCAACAGCTGAAATACACCGTTACCGTCTAATACCGGTCCACGGTTTCGGCACCAATTATTGTAAGGTCACTAAACTTAGTCAACCCGTAAACCAGCGTGTTCTTCTGTCATCCCTTAATGTTCAACAGTCCGCAACACACTGGCCTTTATCGTAAAACATAAATCTCTTATATAGCTTTTTTACAACAGTTATCATCCACAGGATCTGTGGGAATATGTTAGCGCCCATCAGATGTCGGGCCAAGCACAGTGAACGCGCATGACACAACATGCCGATATAAATGTACTGTACTTTAATTTCAAGCATAGCTTGGACGTCAACTATCGGACATAGTATACACAAACATAAAGACTTAGTATCCATGCGTGACGTGACAACAAGTTTTTCAAGCCGGTCTAAAATCCTTTGACCCCACAATGTTATAAAACACAACAAAAAGGTTTTGGTAGTGCGTGAAAGCGAAAGTTCTCGTGTGTGTATACGAATTTGGTGCCTTGTACGGCTGTACCCACCATTCGCGTAATTAAGGACTTTGTTCTAGCGTACTATGTAATGCTAACAGCCTAACACCATTAATTTGGTTTTATTTCAATGTTTGCACTAACTTTTGGATTTCGATACGTATACGCTCTGCTAAAAGGTTCTTGGCATGGCATTTTGCCATAATCATTACTTAAAATACAATTATTCGTTTTTCAAGTCTAACGCTAATAAATTTTTATACAGCGGTGCAATTTTCTCTACAGTATACATAATTGCGTGCATTTTAAGGATGTTGTTCTGTAATTTGTTCGGTAAAATATCATGTGGACAGAAGGCTGTTACAGGATTTTATACATTAACCTTCACATTAGGGTGCAATGAACATACCCGACTGTCCAAACTCATAACGCTACTGGCATCACACGGAATTTTAAAATAAATCCAAGTTTAAAACACACAGCATCCAGTACGAGTACGAGTACGCGCATATATTTGTTTATTTCCAGTATCTTGTTGTTTTAGGTTTGTTGTAGTGATGTTTGTTTTTCTTTTTTACGAATTTTTCTGATTTGCTACGTGTACTAAATCCAACTGTCCACAAATATCAGCTATGGATCTAGTCGCCAGAGCTTGTTATAATGCTGCTAGGGACGCAGCAGTCAAGTCATGTCAGGAGGGAATTTCTGTTCTGGAATTTCTGTTCTGTGACTTAAAATTGTGAAGCACTATGATCTTTTAAAATGTGGTTGAAGATACGCTAGTTTTTTGTGGACCGTAATTTGTCGAAACAGACGTTGAAAATACTTGGATATAACATTTTTGTCAAAATAAAATTTTCTGTAAAGTTAGTTCCCAGGTGTTCATCGCACCCAAATGTCCTCGTAGTAAGGATTCGTTAGTAA